GTGAGGAAGATTCCTGGATCTGAGCGACTAACAGCTGGAACAGCTGGATCCTTCATCTCCTCGCTCCGATTGGCTGCTCCGCTCAGAGCGCTCACAGGTGTCAGACGCTCTAACGCCCCCCCCCCCCCCCCCCCCCCCCCCCCCCCCCAACAACACATGGGGGTTGGGGGGGGGGTTCCTGTAATCTGCAGCTGCTGGGTTTTCAAATGAGCCTCCATCAGAACCGGGTCCCTTCTGGTCTAGAACGCCTATTGGCCGGGGTTCCCATAGAGGGGGCCAGGGCCCCCTGGGGGGTCCCAACACAGTTTCCACAATCAGAAATTCCTGAGTTATATACAGGAGAAAAATACAACAAAATACATAAATGAACCATAAGATATTTACATAAGATATATATACATTTAATTTATTTATTTAAAGGATGTTATAAAGGAGAAAGATTTAATGACTCATCAGAATAAATCAATCCAGCTGTGAATCTGTTCAGGTAGAAAAATGAGTGAAAAGATTCATCAGGAATCTACATCAAAGCAAACTCTGACCCTGAAACAGAAAAATCCTAAAACCATTTAATGTACAGATGTTTAGAAATCATTTTTCAATCCCCCCCCCCATCCTTTCTCTGCCTGGAACAATGGCGGCTATATTAGCTGTGATCAGCGGGTAGAAAGTAGTTAGAATCTATGTTGAAGTGAGAAAGTCCTCCTGAAAACATGGTCTGTGCAGTCAGTTCATCCAGATTACCATCCTGCCTTCAAAGATTATTTCTCTGTGGGAGCCGCTCAGACCCCCACATACCGGCGCTGCGCTGTCACTGGGAATCCCCAGCAGCAGCTGCCTCAGGCCCGCTCGCCTCTCCAGGGTTTTCCCCTCCTGTTGGTGGCGGCTGGAAGTAGATGTTAGCGTTTTTCAGGTCTGTGCTACAAACTGCAGGCAGCAGGATAATAAAAGCCAACATATTCTGCCGGCAGGTTTCTACATTTGAAGTTAATTTAGGCGTTAATAAACTGTTTCAGAGGAGTGATCATAGCGCTCTGCATCAGCAGTGCTGCGTCTGACTCCCTGCCAGCTCCCAGATCAGCTTCTCTCATTGGTTGATGTCAAGCAGCTAAAGTTCTATGTTTCCAGCAGCTGCAGCTTCTGAAGCGTCTCAGCGGAGCAGCGTCTCATGAGTTGCTGCTCCTGCTGCTCAAAACGCGCGGCAGGAATTTTTGCTGCGCCTTAATGTGCGTCAACCATTGACTTTGCATGGAAACCAGCTGCTTCTGCTGCTTGCGATGTGAACGTAGCATTGATGACAGGGAACAAAAACACGCTAAGCTGGCAGAGCAGAGACAATAACAGGAATCAAATAATTAACTGTGACTGTATCTCCAAAACAAACGTCCATCATTAAAGTTCTCCAACTTTATCCCCATTTGAAAGAGAGAAATGTTCTTCTCCAGTGGTTCTCTGTTTCCATGGTTGTCAGGTTATCCTAAGGTCCCTGTTCTCCTTCACCAACCTGCCGGTCGCTCCATGTCTCTGCTCGGAGGTTGTTCAGGGATGCCTCCAAAGTTTCCACCTCTCTGCACAGAGGTCTAAATGTCCAAACATCAACTCGCCGCATGGTACAGTCTGGGTCAGCCTTCCCTCAGTAGATAGACTCCATAACCGTGGGCATCCATGAACAGCAGCCACACCAGGTTACGTTGCCAAAACATATGTACCTGTGCCTAAAAATCCTAGCAGGTGTTCTGTGGGATAGCAGGGACATTTCAGGGACATTTCAGGGACATTTCAGGGACAGATCAGCCGCCTCTTCTCTCCTCCCTACGGCTGGAGTCACGCGGTGAACGGCCTCCAGGCACTGAGATTTAGACGCTTCACAGTCATTTCAATTCAATTCAATTCAATTCAGTTTATTTATATAGCGCCAAATTCACAACACATGTCATCTCAAGGCACTTTACAGTTCAACCAGATCATACAGTCAAATTGATACAAAGTTTTCTATCTAAGGAAAACCAGTTGATTGCATTGACTCATTGACTCAAATACAATCCCCCACACTAAGCATGCTTGTAGCGACAGTGGAGAGGAAAAACTCCCTTTTAACAGGAAGAAACCTCCAGCAGAACCAGGCTCAGTGTGAGCGGCCATCTGCTGAGGCCGACTGGGGTTCAAGGAGACAGAAGCAGACATAGAAAAAGAAGCATAGATACAAAAGGCAACTGTCAACCAGCTCCACAGGCGGCCCCGTCCAGGAAACACACAGCCAGGCAGACGAGCTCCAAGGCAGCTCCCATGCCAGAGGACGAAGAGAGCACATCCACTCAGTCACGGTCAGAGAAACAGGACCACACTGTAAAACAGGCCGATCTCCAACATCTATAAACAAGGGTGTTGATAGAAGCAGCACAGCCGATGTTTCTTTCCAGGATGACGTCACAGCCAAACAGGAACAGACGAGGCAAAGCTACTCTGAGGAAAAGCAGAGCTTTTCAGCTTCATCTTACATCAAACCAAATGTTTTAAATGTTCTATGGTTGTGACGTATAGCTGCTATAGCCAATGTATTCAATAGCTGAAGCATCGACCAACCGTGTGACGTCACAGTTTGAGGTACTGGAACATGGTGGCGCCCTTACTGAAAAATTGAAAATGATTGACAATAGTGATACACAATCTGATGAGGTAAGGTAATTTGGTTCAGTCTTTCATTTTCACTTTAAGGGCTTATTGGGCGTGATCGTGGACATTCCGCGTGGAAAATGAGCCCTCCGTCATGTTGGCTGTTTGTCCCTGGTTTTGTTGGGTCTTTGTCCCTAGTACTGTTGAGTGTATGTCCCTGGTACTGTAGTTTTTTTTTTTTGTCCCTGGTACTGTTGGGTTTTTGTCCCTGGTACTGTTGGGTTTTTGTCCCTGGTACTGTTGGGTTTTTGTCCCTGGTACTGTTAGGTGTTTGTCCCTGGTACTGTTGGGTCTTTGTTACAGGTATTGTTGAGGGTTTTCCCCTTGTACTGTTTGCTGTTTTTCCCTGGTGGTGTTGGGTCTTTGTCCCTTGAAGTGTCGAGTGTTTGTCCTTGGTACTCTTGGGTGTTTGTCCATGGTACTGTTGGGTCTTTGTTCCTGGTACTGTAGGGTTTTTGTCCCTGGTACTTCTGGCTGTTTGTCCCTGGTACTGTTGGCTGTTTGTCCCTGGTACCATTGGCTGTTTGTCCCTGGTACTATAAGGTTTTGTCCCTTGTACTGTTGGGTCTTTGTTCCTGGTACTGTTGAGTGTTTGTCCCTGGTACCATTGGCTGTTTGTCCCTGGTACCGTTTGCTTTTTGTCTGTGGTACTGTTTGCTGTTTGTCCCTGGTACTGTTGAGTATTTGTCCCTGGTACTTCTGGCTGTTTGTCCCTGGTACCGTTTGCTTTTTGTCTGTGGTACTGTTTGCTGTTTGTCCCTGGTACTGTTGAGTGTGTGTCCCTGGTACCATTGGCTGTTTGTTCCTGGTACTGTAGGGTTTTTGTCCCTGGTACTTCTGGCTGTTTGTCCCTGGTACTGTTGGCTGTTTGTCCCTGGTACCATTGGCTGTTTGTCCCTGGTACTATAAGGTTTTGTCCCTTGTACTGTTTGCTGTTTGTCCCTGGTACTGTTGAGTATTTGTCCCTGGTACTTCTGGCTGTTTGTCCCTGGTACCGTTTGCTGTTTGTTCCTGGTACTGTTGAGTGTTTTCCATGGAACTGTTGGGTTTACTTTTTGTTAGTAGTTGAAAAAAGTGTCTTGTGATGGAAAAAGAACTTTGGTATTTGGAATTACAGAAAAGACAAAAGAAACTTAATTTCTCTATAAAGACATTGCTGTTGTTCCACGGTGATGAAGAGGATGGTTTTCCATCATGTTCTTTATATATTGAAACATTTCCCTCTGTATAATCACACAGATTTTCTGCAGGAGTTCCTGGACTAGAAAAATCATATTTGTTGTCTTTGAACTAGAGAAACATGATGATCACAGATGAAATCCTCATGAAGGCCTTGATGATGGAGATGTTTTCAGAAAGAAGAGATGGAGGCATTAGTAGCTGCAGTTTCATTTCTTTGTTAATTAATCCTGTTTGCAAACATAAGAGCGAAAAGTGAAGCAAAGTGAATCAGTGCAGAATAAAGTGAAAAGAGAATAAAGAATAAAGCGCCTGAATGTCTCTGCTGAGTCATTCTGTGTCAGAGAATCCAGAACGGTTCTGTCTTGATGTTTTTCTCTGTGGTCAAAGTCTTGGTGCTGACCTACTCAGACAAACATGCCCGGCTCTGCAGAACCGCAGCTTTGGACCTGAAATCACCGGGATTAGAGCAGCTTGGATTTCCTTGAAACTTGGTGATTTAGGACGTAGACTTGGATCATCAGAGTTGTGTTTGTGGCTGCGAGGAGAACAAATGTTCCCTCTGGTCTTCAGGGAAAAACCAAACTGTCTTTTACCAAACTTTAAAAACGCTGCAGATGTTCTGATGTTGCTTTTTGGACTTTAGCTTCTCTTTCACTCATTTTATCATCAACATTTGACCTTTTTTTAAAGCACTTATTTCTTTATATTTCTGTGTTCTATGAATGAAGCAGTGTTTTGGCGACATGTAACAGAAAACCCGGCAGGAACCAGCCTGACCCGGTTCTGCAGCTGAATCTGTGAATAATCCCAAAGAAAACACAGTTTAGCAGGAAGAAAACAGACCTTTGGCTCCGACTTTATAAGTGATGGACCGTCGCCCATCTGAACTCTATGAATGTTTTTTCCTGTTAATTAAGGACCTTCAGAGGCGTCTATAGAGCCTCTAAGACCAGAGAAAGCCATGAAAGGACTGAAAAAGCTGCAAAATTCAAAGCAGAGACAGTTTATAAAGCTTGATGAGCTTCGACTGATAGAAGGTCAGGCTGCTGAGGGGGAGGATGTCCAAAGTTCAGAGCTAGTTTAGACCTGTTGAAATATTTGGGTCAAAAAACCTGAAGCTTTGTAGAAAAAGAGGATAACGAACCATGAAGGAGGAGAAGAAGAGGTTTAAATCTGTCCAGAACGTCAGGGTCTGTTTCCTTTCTGTCCACTAGGGGTCAGCACATGTCTCTGGAAATAAACTCTTCCTTTCAGCAACTGGAGGGATTAAAAAAAAGAGCATCAACTGAACGGAGGAGAAAGGGCCTTTTTTATTTCCTGGGACATGACTTCATATCCAAATGTAGGAAAATGTGAGGCTGCAGCAGCCTGTGGGAAACTCCTGCTCTGAAACAGAACAACATAATGTGAGACTGAGCTTCTCCATCTGGGGGCCCAAACAGCTGCATTCAATCATCATCGCCTCTTCTGACTACTGATATGAACCCCCCCCCCCCCCCACCCCCCCCCCCCCCACCCCCACGCTGCCTTTTAAGGCACATTAAACAATCACTGAATCATAATCAGATCAGATCAAAGCTAAAAGTCTTAAAAGTTCAGAGCAGATTAATCAAATAAAGGATGTTTCTGGGGATCAGTCTGATGGAAAATCCCAGTTTACTTTCTAAAGCTCAGGATGTTCAGTTCACGGTACAGATCTAGTCTTACTAGATGCTTCTGAGGATCACATGGCTTCATGGGGTGAATTTCTACCTACGCTGTAGAGTCCTTTGATAAAGCTGATAGAGCAGCTCAGGTTATCCTGAGCGATCGTCTCTGCAGTGTGACTTTAACTCATGTGAGTTAGGAGAAATGCATGTTTGCTTTATTCTACATTTATTCAAATATTTAATCAGATTCGCTTTTAATCGTATTATTAATATTATAATTATTAATAAAAACAAGATCAGTTAAAGGTGTCCTATACTCTGGAACGACCTTCAGGAATACAGGTGCTGGTCATAAAATTAGAATATCATGAAAAAGTAGATTGATTTCAGTAATTCCATTTAAAAAGTGAAACTTGTATATTATATTCATACATTACATACAAACTCATATATTTCAGATGTTTATTTTGTTTAATTTTGATGATTACAAATGACAACAAATGAAAATCTCAAATTCATCATATCAGAAAATTAGAATATTGTGAAAAGGTTAAAAATTGATGGCCCCTGGTGCCACACTCTAATCAGCTAATTAACTCAAACCACCTGCAAAAGCCTTTAAATGGTCTTTCAGTCTAGTTCTATAGGCTACACAATCATGGGGAAGACTGCTGACTTGACAGTTGTCCAAAAGACGACCATCGACACCTTGCACAAGGAGGGCAAGACACAAAAGGTCATCGCTAAAGAGGCTGGCTGTTGCGACAGTGGCGTTGGATGGAGGAGTTTGCCCTGTAATCGAAGGGTTGACGGTTCAAGCCCCGACTCCGACTTTCATTGTCGTTGTGTCCTTGGGCAAGACACTTCACCTGCATTGTCTACTGATGGTGGTCAGAGGGCCCGGTGGCGCCAGTGTACGGCAGCCTCGCTTCTGTCAGTGAGCCCCAGGGCAGCTGTGGCTACAATGTAGCTTGCCACCATCAGTGTGTGAGTGTGTGTGTGAATGGGTGAATGAATGTAGTGTAAAGCGCTTTGGTCAAGTCTCCTAACTTGAATAAAGGCGTTATATAAGTACATGCCATTTACCATTTACCATTTACCATTCACAGAGCTCAGTGTCCAAGCACATTAATAGAGAGGCGAAGGGAAGGAAAAGATGTGGTCGAAAAAAGTGTACAAGCAAGAGAGATAACCGCACCCTGGAGAGGATTGTGAAACAAAACCCATTCAAAAATGTGGGGGAGATTCACAAAGAGTGGACTGCAGCTGGAGTGAGTGCTTCAAGAACCACCACACACAGACGTATGAAAGACATGGGTTTCTGCTGTCGCATTCCTTGTGTCAAGCCACTCTTGAACCACAGACAGCGTCAGAAGCGTCTTGCCTGGGCTAAAGAGAAACAGGACTGGACTGCTGGTGAGTGGTCCAAAGTCATGTTCTCTGATGAAAGTAAATTTTGCATTTCCTTTGGAAATCAAGGTCCCAGAGTCTGGAGGAAAAGAAGAGAGGCACTTCATCCATGTTGCTTGAAGTCCAGTGTAAAGTTTCCACAGTCAGTGATGGTTTGGGGTGCCATGTCATCTGCTGGTGTTGGTCCATTGTGTTTTCTGAGGTCCAGGGTCAACGCAGCCACATACCAGGAAGTTTTAGAGCACTTCATGCTTCCTGCAGCTGACCAACTTTTTGGAGATGCAGATTTCATTTTCCAACAGGACTTGGCACCTGCACACAGTGCCAAAGCTACCAGTACCTGGTTGAAGGACCATGGTATCCCTGTTCTTAATTGGCCAGCAAACTCTCCTGACCTTAACCCCATAGAAAATCTATGGGGTATTGTGAAGAAGAAGATGCAATACACCAGACCCAACAATTCAGAAGAGCTAAAAGCCACTATTAGAGCAACCTGGGCTATCATAACACCTGAGCAGTGCCACAGACTGATCGACTCCATGCCACGCCGCATTGCTGCAGTAATACAGGCCAAAGGAGGCCCAACTAAATACTGAGTGCTGTACATGCTCATACTTTTCATGTTCATACTTTTCAGTTGGCCAACATTTCTATAAATCCTTTGTTTTTATTGGTCTTCAGTAATATTCTAATTTTCTGATATGATGAATTTGAGATTTTCATTTGTTGTCATTTGTAATCATCAAAATTAAACAAAATAAACATCTGAAATATATGAGTTTGTATGTAATGTATGAATATAATATACAAGTTTCACTTTTTAAATGGAATTACTGAAATCAATCTACTTTTTCATGATATTCTAATTTTATGACCAGCACCTGTAAATGAGGTTCCTTCTAAGAACTTTCAGGTTACTTTATTGATCTGGTGGCTAACTGGAGATACCAGTGAAGCGGACTGGGAACAGACTGGAACCAGTCCTAACTCCAGCCTTCTGGAAACATGTGCCTGGTTCCCGTGAAGCAGAGGAATGATACGTTCTGGAGGAGGAACGGCGCCGCTCTGCTGCAGGGCGCTGAGCCGCCCCACTAAAGAAAAGCATTTAAATCGGTTTTCAGGTGTGAATAAATCCAGTTGGAAACTTTAGTTTAATGTTTATATTTCTGAGAGTTGAAAACGTTTCTCAGGTCTGTTAAAGGTTGTTTGGTTCAGGTTGTGGTTTCATCTGCTGCTCATGCTGACAGATCTCCGTCTTCTGTTTCTGCACAGGAACCGTCTGAGCTCGGCCTGAAGATGAGGAGGCATCGCCTGCTCCCCCTGTGCGTCCTTCTGGGGCTCCTGTTTGCAGCTTTCCCCGTTAAGCTCCACGCTCAGGATGGTAAGTTGAACCTGATCGTTTTCTCAGCACCGTTAGATTAACGTTAAAGCGAATAGCAGTCTCTACATTTCAGCTTTAAGTCGGAAATCTTTGGTCAAACATGTGACGAAGAACAACCTGGACTAAAACTGCCTGAAATCGATGCACATTTTTAAAGCCGTTCGACGTCAAACTAAAACTTTCTTCATCTTTAGTTCAGGCTTTATTTAAACGGATGTAACCAAACTGGGAAAGCTGCCACTCTCACAGTCTGGCAGAGTTTAGATCCTAATCAATCTGCTGATTATTCAAGTCAGAAATCGCTGAAACAAACCAAGTTAGATGATTAAATGTCCATGACAGACGTCTTCATGGAACCGAATGAAGAACAGGCTGATGCTGTTAGAGTGAGATAATTAGTTTAATCACCAAGTTTTTGTCTTTTTCCACTGGTCTTCTCTCCTCTGAAGACTGTGCTGAAGGTTTGGCAGCTGATGTGTACTTTCTAGTGGATTCGTCGTGGAGTATGGGGCAGGAGAACTTTGAACATGTCAGAAGGTTTCTGTTGACCTTGATCAAAGCTCTGCACCAGGTGGGAGGAGGCCGCTTTAGGTTCGCCCTCATACAGTTCTCTAGCAGACCCCAAACGGAGTTCCACCTCAACACCTACCCAACGACGCAGGACATCCTGGGACACGTTAGGGCCATGTCTTACCGCGGCGGGGGCACCCGGACCGGCCTCGGCCTGGAATTCCTGCTCCAAACACATTTGACCTCAGCTTCGGGAAGCCGAGCGACGGAAGGCGCGGTCCAGGTGGCGCTGGTCCTGACGGACGGCCGATCGCAGGACGACGTTGCCGAGCCGGCTCAGGTGCTCCGGATGGCCGGCGTGGAGATGTTTGCTTTGGGAGTTCAGGATGCGGTGGCCTGGGAGCTGCGGGAGATGGCGAGCCAGCCAGAAGATTCCCACGTGTTCAATGTGGACTCCTTCCTGAAGTTACAGGATATCATTCAGGATGTAGTAGTGAGTGTTTGCAGCGCAGTGACCCGGGTGGGGGGTGGTCCTTTGGTCAATGAGACCCCAATGGCTGGACAAGGGACAGGTAAAGACATGGCCCCATGTCAACTAGCACACTAACCTGCCCACATGTGCAGGAAGAACCAGCGGCCTGTGACATCATGGACCTCATTATTAACAGTTTTTAATTTGATCTCAGCACTATAACCTTCTCACACGCAGAATTAACTAAACTGTTTGGCAGTGATGCAGACTGCACCTCATTCTTTCCTCGAGCTAACCGCGTTTCCGCAACTAACCGTTCTTCCCCAGAGTTAGACATAACTTCACCACAGAGAATAGCGAGAATAAAGGTTTTATCTAGTTTATCTAATTATTCTGTTAAGGTGGAAATTAATTAATCAATCCTGAAATATCGACAATCATTTTACAAGATAAGGCAACAAAGTTTTATTTACCTTGTTAGAAGCTCTATTTGCCTGAATTTGGGCCAAAAGGAGGAAATTAAAATGAGACATTTGAGTAAAACAGAGAGAAGAATGTAGAGCAGGTAAAACATCCATTTTTTTAGAAAGACTTTTTAAAGATATTGTCTAAGAATGAGAGCGTGGGACCGATCTCTACGGTGTGACGCAATCAGTGAAAGAAACAGTCCAAGATGGTCGCCATGGAGGCAGAAGAAGAAATGTTTTCATTTATTCTGCAAGATGAAGGGGCGCCGTTAAAAAGCGTAACTCAGCTCCGGGTTTTCCCAGAAACGAACAAACGTCCGTCTCCAGACAAGACTCTGCTTGCTGGCAAAGAATCAGCTTAAAGAGAAAAAACATCTCAATTTAACAGAATTTAGTCCAGATAAGGATCCATGAAGGAAAGTTAACATCCTGGAAGCTTGAAAAAATCTCCAGAAAATGTTAGCGATTGAGCTTTTAACCTTAGCTAAGCATGCACCAATGCTTGTGTGTCCTGCACATGTGTTTATGTGTCCATGTGAAACATTTCCAGTACTCTGTGTTTGAAACAGTCATGAACCTGTTGGAAATCAGCCCTGGCCTGCTGCTGTGGTACGGAGGAGGAGGCGCCGTCATCTGTCGGCCATTGGAACTGAGAAATTATTGGGAATAAAGACGCAGCTGAATAAATGAACCGATAAAAACATATTTAATCAGTTAAAGATGCAGGTTATGGATGATCCACGGGTTCATGACTGATCACCTTACATCTGTAACAAGAGTCTGCATGGGAAGGCTGAACTCAAGCACAGCAGGGGTTAAATTCACGAGTTTCTTTCCAGTTTTTTAGCAGATAGTGAATCATCTAAGAGCAGCTTTAGGCCCCTTCTGATTGAAGCAACTTTCATTTATATAGTTTTATCTTCACATGTAGAGTTAAAGCATCCAAGATGGCGTGGCTCAGAGGGAGACCAGCTTAGCAGCCAACAGATGGGCGCCATCTAGTTTCTTTAAAGAGGAAAGTTCTGTTAAAACTTTAGTTATTAGAGTATTAAGTTCTGATGATAATTAGTGTTGCGTCGATGCCATTTTTTGGCCCCGATACCTGGCTGTGCAGTATCGGCTGATACCGATACCATAATAATGTAAAATAATGTCCATCATGGCTTCATGTCAAGCTTCTGCCTTCCTTTGTGACGCAGGAAAAAATCTACTACAAAGTGAATCCAGTAGAACTTTTTATTGCCTACCAGGAGTGGGTGACAATAGTTGAATAAACTTATGGCTCTCAAAATGGTATCAGTGCCCTATTTGTTGGTACTCACGATACCGATACCACCATTTTAGGGCAGTATCGGGGCCCCGTCCGATACTGGTATCGGTATCGGTGCAACACTAATGATAATAGATGGAAAATGGCGCCCCATTAGCTGCATACTAACTTTGTCTATAAAGTAGCAGCCATTCAAAATGGCCCTTCCCAGTTAAAAGCAGCCGAATGGCAACAGAATCCCCTCCAACTTCCAGCCCCTGTCCTTCTCCTGGGCATGCATATTTATTTACTCTGACTCCGACCTTTCACTGAATTACAGGGTCTGACCAGGAGATGGCATTTCTCTTTAGGACCAGCTAAGGTCCTTTGTACTAAAATGTTCTTTCTGTCATGATTTGTGGACATTAAGATCTAAAGAGTAGCGCCATCTCCTGGTCAGGACCAGCCAAGGGCCCATCAGGGAAAATGTGGTTATTTAGAATGGCTACTATTGAACGAGTAAATTTCTTCAATGAAAACGCCAATAAAAATAGATGCTTTGGACTAAAGGAAGCCAGATGACAGGAGGAGGTGTCCTTGGTTCAGCCTACATGCAGTATGACCTGTTTTCCAATGTTGTTGATTCATTGACTCTGTTTCTACACACATGCAGCGATTTGCTAACTTTGATTGATGTCTATGTCACTGTCTCAGTAGAGTATTTACTTTCACTATTCCCATGTTCTTCTGTTTTTCTGTTTCTCTCCTTAAAGCACCAGATTCAGCTGACCTAATATTCTTAATTGATGGATCACAGAACGTTGGAGCAGCTAACTTCCTCTATGTGCGCGAATGGCTTCTGAGAGTCATTGAGCGCCTCTCTGTGGGCAGTGACAGCATTAGGGTGGGTTTGGTCCAGTACGACAATGACCCCAAAATCCAATTCTATCTGAATAGCTTTTATGAGAAATCCTCAGTCCTGGAAGAGGTGAAAGGACTGACCTTCTCCGGTGGCTATGAATCCAACCTGGGTGCTGCCCTGCTGGACGTGGCTCAGAGGCTGTTTGAGAAAGCGGCCGGAGGCAGGGCAGAGGAGGGCGTACCCCGTATTTTGGTGATCGTCAGTGCCGGAGAACCCAGTGATGACGTTAGTGTCAGTCTACAGGCCCTCACAAGCGCCCAGGTGTTCACATTAGGGGTGTCGATTGGTCCATCCGATGCTGCATATCTGGAAGAGGTGGCCATAGATCAAGCTTTTGTTCTAAAAGCAGACAATGTCAGAACATTGTCAGCCACCGTCGATCAGCTTGTCGGCTTCATTACCGGCTCGGCCACAGGCGCCCTTGAAATTAAGACGGAGTTCTCCGAAGGTAGGTAACGTCTTTAAGGGTTGGTGGGGCTCTGGGTCCTGAGCTCAGGGTGGGGGGGTTGCTTCAAAGACTTGCTGCTACACGGCTGTTCATCTTATTCTGGCATTGCACCAATTAGATCACTGAATAATTTATTACTGTTATTACTGATTAATGATTATTAATGTAAATTACGTTGAAAAAGGTTAGAAAAAAAAGGTAAAAAGCTCATTTAAAAGTTAGAAAAGTAGAAAATGTTATTTCCTGTATCAGCATTAATCATCTAAAATTAAAATGTTTTTCCTAATATTTCAGGGCCAGCGGCCATTTTTTCTTGTTACATTGACCTCATTTTCTACCTTTCCATACAGATTTTTTGAATGTTACAAAACTAATAAAGATTACAAAAGCCTTTCTTGCTTGAAATTTAGATTTTAAAAATATTACATGGAGTGCCCTTTAAAGGGTTAAAACAATCCACATGTTGGACTTTTTTTGCTCCTCCCACATATTAGTTTTCCTTTCCAAGGTGACGCCATTTAAGGCCAAATCCTGCAGACAGATTTTCAAACTGTCTAAAATGTTCTAAAAAAAGTCCATTTGAACCTAGAAATATTCAACCAACCAACAACATTCATGGTTTCAGTCCTTTCCTGGCTGGAAATGTCACTAAAACAACCTCTACAGAATCATCCAACCCAACCTGGATGATTCTGCAATGACAGACTGAACTCAAACACTTTAGGCCTTTTTAAATAAAAGCATTGACTGAAACAGATCCTACTATTTATTCTACTGATTACTTTATTCCAGCAGGAAAAATGCAAAGTAAACCCTTCATTGTCCTCTGCAGCCGACGTTAGTCACCAAAAGCTAAATGAGATGGTAGCATTAATACGTAATGTTTTAACACAAAGATGTAAGTAAAGAACATAAATAGAAAGAGTCAAACCTGGAGTCAAACACTGCTCCCCGGGCGCCGCACAATGGCAGCCCACTGCTCCCCCTGGGGAAGGGTTCAATGCAGAGAGGGATTTTCTTTGACAGTGGAATGAAAAATAAAGTTAAATTCTATTCTATTAAAGATGGGTTATCTTTGTCGGAATTATAATGTTTACATGAATCCTAAATAATTATTCCTATTTTAACTCCCAAACATTTTAAGTTCAACAAGTTATGTATTTTTAATCACCTTTAAACTTGAAGCCAAACTAATAGTAAAATATCTTTTACAGTTTTCAATCAAACCATTTACATGACGTTTAAGTCAAAGGAAGGCTATGCTAACATAAATATTTCTCCTTCCAGTGGTACCAGTTGGAAAGCGAGACATTGTTTTCCTGGTCGACAGCACAATGGGAACAGCTGTCATCAACACTGTACGCGACTACATCAAGCGGTTCGTCAGCGCCAGGGAAATCGGTCCAGATGCCGTCCAAGTTGGTATTGCCCAGTTCACGACGGACACGAGGCTGTTGATGGACCTCAACAGCCACGCAGACAAGGTTTCTTTGCTGGCTGGTTTATCTGGCGTCAAGCCGAAACAGGGACAGAAAATCAACATTGGATCCGCCTTGAACTTTGTGCGAGAGGAAATGTTGAGACCTGAAAAGGGGAGCCGCATCGAGCAGGGCGTTCCTCAGCTGGTGCTGCTGATAGTCAGTAAAAGCTCAGATGACGACCTGGAGGGACCGAGTCAAGCTCTGAAGGCCATGGGCGTTCTGACTCTGGCTGCAGGATCCAAGGCTGCTAACCAGCAGGAGCTCAATCAGATCGCCTTGTCTGAAGCAATGGTGTTCATGGCAAAAGATTTTAGACAACTGTTTCGCAACGCCCGGGAAATAACCGACGCGCTCCTCACCCTGTCTGGGGTGGTGGTGGTCCCCAATCTAGGTAAGTCCTCATCTGACTGTAATTTGAATGTGTTCCTGAGCTTTGATTAAAATGCAAACTGTTTCATCTCAACCAATAAAAAAATACAATATAAACAAATATAAAAGCTAAATCAGGACTCGTCTTCAGTTTTAATGGATCTTGGTGGCTGGAATAGTTGAAGTGTCTCAATTCAGTTTAAGTTTTGTATTAATCCATCATTATCCTTCCAAGCTCTGGGTCCTTTAAATCTAATGTGTTTTTGCCGGGGAGCATCCCAAAACATGCTGGAGTCGCTCACATCTAGATGATATTTAAGAGTAATCTGTTGCTGAAGGTGACTAAGGCTACGTTCACACTGCAGTCTCTTCTCCACTCTGATTCTTCCGCTGATCGTTCACATTTCCAAGTATATACGTGACTTGTATGTGACCTCCTGGTACGTACGCAGATTTCTATGTCCCTACGATCCTCAATCCAATCATCCCAGCTCTGCTTCAGGAGAAGCTCCCCCAGCTGGTTGTGCCTGACTCCACCTGCAGGTGGATTACAGACTTCCTGTCTGACAGGAAGCAGCAGGTGAAGCTGGGAAAACATGTCTCTGACTCCCAGCTCATCAGCACTGGTTCCTTCCAGGGCTGTGTTCTTCCTCGTCTGCTCTTATACCTGAACACCAATGGCTGCACCTCCAGTCATCAGTCTGTCAAGCTTCTGAAGTTCACTGACGACACCACCCTCAACAGACTGATCTCTGATGGTGACGAGTCCCCCTACAGGTGGGAGGTTTACCATCTGGTGACCTGGTGCGGGGAGAACAACCTGGACCTCTAAAAACAGGGGAGATGGTTGTGGATTTCAGGAAGAATTCAGCCCCAGCTACCCCCATCACTCTCTGGGACTCCACTATTGACACTGTGGAGTCTTTCTGCTTCCTGGGAACGAACATCTCACAGGGCCTAAAGTGGGAGCTGAACATCAACTTCCTCACCAAGAAAGACCGGCAAAGGATGAACTTCCTGCGAAAAAATCCCACCTTCCAAGGACAATGATGGTGCACTTCTACTCCTCCATCACCGAGTCCATCCTCACCTCCTCCATCCCCATCTGGTACGCTGGTGCCACCACCAAGGCCAAGGGCAGACTGCAGCGTGTCATCCTGTCTGCAGAGAAGGTGATTGGCTGCAATCTTCCATCTCTCCAGGATGTGTACGCATCCAGGACTCTGAGGCCTGCAGGGAAGATTGTGGCTGATCCCTCGCACCCCTAGCCACAAACTATTTCAGTCCCTTCCCTCTGGCAGGAGGCTGTAATCCATCAGGACCAAAACCTCACATTCTTCCCATCTACTACCAGCCTTATCAGCAAGGCCCAGAGACCCCCATCACCCTGATACTGCCTCTCTCCCTCCCACCGTTCAGGACTTAGAACCTATACCAACGTAGCATCTCCCGACCTCCTGCTTTACACCAATGCACAGCCTACTGTATGTTGTGTATTGTATATAGCTATAGATTCTGTATTTTGTATATATATATCTATTTTGTGTGCACCATCAACACCAAATCAAATTACTTGTAAGTGCAAACCTACTTGAAAATAAACTTGATTCTGATTCCGAACTGCATTCACACAACTTAAGTGTCCCGCATGAGCAGTAGAGGAAGCAATGATGTCACAGGTAGCGAGTGTGCTCTGTGTTAGCAGAAATAAACATGAATGATAGTGCTGGAGCTCATCTCACCATCTTTCATCTATTTCCCAACCTCAGCAAGTGCATTAACAGCAATCTTTCAAGACTGCTCTCTGCATTACCATCTGGGTGTTATTTTTCTTCCAGCTTCTGCATAGCAAGACGCAGAATAGTGACCTTTGTTCCGGGTATTAATGGTGTTCATGTCGTATGAATGCGACCTGGCTATTCAGAGACAGGTCGCATATGGGTAGAAAAATCGGATTTTGGGCATTTCAGGCTGCTGTGTGAACGTAGCCTTGGTCGACATGGAAATAACAGTTTCCCTTTGTTCTTTTTCTTAGACGAGGAGATCATCGTGGAGAGGCCGAGAGTTGTACGTGATATTGTGTTCCTTGTGGATGGATCAAACTATGTCGGCCGAAATAACCTGCCCTTCATAAGAGACTTCATGATCAACGTGGTCAACCAGCTGGAAATAAGCCCTGATCAGGTCCAAATCGGCCTCATGCAGTTTGCAGAGCAGCCAAGGGTTGAATTTTACCTGAACACCTACAACAACAAGAGGGATGTTGTGGCCAAAATCTCCGGACTGAGGCTTACTGGAGGCTCGGTCCTGAACACAGGAGCTGCAATGAATTACGCTTTGCAGAACATGTTTCAGCCATCAGCTGGGTTACGCAAGAAAGCTGTGCAAGTGTTGGTTCTCATCACAGGTGGTCCACCCCAGGATAACGCCTTAAGTGAGGCAGATAGATTGGCTTTGGCAAATATTGTGACTTTCACTGTCAGTTCTGGGCAAGCAGACGAAGATGTAATGAGAAGAATTGCATTCGTTACAAATCTGGCTTATCACCAACAAAGCTTCTCGGAATTTCCAGCCTTGGCCGAAATCATCATGCCAAGTCTAATAACGGTGGTTGGTGCTACGGAAGTCGACGATCAAGGTCAGTTTTATGGTTCTCTTTTTCTTATATTAAACAATGTTCCAAACTGATATAGATTTAAGAAGCTGTGTTTTTTTCTTAACCCCTAGACTCTAAAAGAGATGTTGCTTTCCTGATTGATGGCACTGACAGTGTTCGAGGAGATTTTGGCTACATCCGCGATTTTATCCTTCGGGTCATTGAGCCACTTGACATTGGCATTGACAAAGTACGCATCTCAGTGGTTCAACACAGCGAGAGACCCTATCCAGTCTTCAACCTCAACACCTACCAGACTAAGGAAGAGGTGATCAGGGCGGTTAGGGGAATGACCCTCGCTGGTGGACGCAGCTTGAATACGGGAGCCGCTCTGAGATACATGAAGACCACCACATTGTCTGACAGCAATGGCAGCCGGAGTTCTGAAAGTGTCCCTCAGTTCCTCATTGTTTTGGCTGCAGACAGATCAATGGATAGCGTAAAAGAACCTGCGGGTGACCTGAAGACGGATGGAGTTGTACCACTTGGAGTTGGTGTCAAGAATGCTGACAAGAGGCAGATCGTAGATATTTCCCACAACCCTGCCTTGGCCTTTAATGTGAAGGAATTCACTGAACTTGAAACAATACCACCGAAGATCAACTCCTACATCGGTTTGTCCGCGGACCAGCTTGCACTAGCCCTGCAAGGTAGGACAGTCAATTTTCCTTCTTGGTCCGCTGAAGCTGAAGCCTGAAAAACTGCTTTGATGTGATGTTTTGCTGCTTGATCAGAATAACTGAACTTTATCTTTGTCATAGTGCAAAAAGATGCAGTCAAAAGAGATATTGTGTTCCTGCTGGGTGGTTCTGATAACACCAAAAACGGATTTCCAGACATAAAGCACTTTGTTAAAAGCATAGTGCAGCGCCTCAATGTTGACGAGAGCCTTGACAGAGTGTCTGTGGTTCAGTTTGCTGATAGCTCCAAGGTCAGCTTTCATCTAAATTCCCACAAGACCAAAAATGACACCTTGAATGCCATTGATAACTTAGCACACAGAGGTGGGAGGCGACTTAATGTTGCTGCAGCTCTCCAGTTTGTGAGGCACAGGGTGTTCACTTCCTCCACAGGGAGCAGACGACTAGAAGGAGTGCGTCAGGTCCTAGTCATTTTAACTAGCCAATCATCTGCAGACAGTGTGAAAGGACCAGCCTTGGCTCTTAAGGAACATGAAATTGTGGCAGTTGGTGTTGGAGTGGGAGACATTAACCTTGCAGAGTTGGAAATGATTGCATTTGAACCTGGCTTCATATACAGAGTCTCTGATTTCTCCAAGTTAAACTTAATCCAAAAACAAGTTCTTGCTGCACTGAACATGAACAAAGACAACCAAGAGACCAAGAATGGAATCTCTGATTTAGTAGGTAAGAGAACCTAATGTGAGTGTTTTACAGTATGGGGACAACATAAGTCCTTAAAGTATAGAAGACTGAAACATCTTTAAGTACAACAACTGATTATTTCTAATCTTTCACTTCAGATTATGTCTGTTTAAATTCTCAACCATCTGGGTCATGGTAACCACAAACAGGCTTAAACTGGATCCTCAGCGCTCTTCTGATTTCCTGTTGGTTTTAAGTCTTTATCTTTGTAGTTCTGGTGTATTTATCTAATAAAATTAGTTCTCACTCAACCGGTTGACACATTCAGCAATAGGAGGGACAGATCTTTCTCCTTGATGGGTCACACAGCTCCGGAAATTGACTTCCAGGTTTCTGATAGTTTTTCAGAAATTGACAGAGAAGCTGTTAACCGCTTTGAGTGAGCTGTGCAGCTTCTGTTTACTCTAACCTGTTAACTCAGAAAACCAAAGAGGCAGAAGGAGCAAGAGCTTGAAACGCTGGGCTGCCCTGTGGTTTGAGAAAAACCGTGTTTTGTCATCATCCTGGGGAAGCAGACACTCGGAGGGAGTTCTCACGGTTCTGGTTTTACTGACTGGGGGTACATCCAGTCCGCCAGTCAGTACCCCAGGGCGCCCTGGCTTCCTTCCATGTTGCTCTCCATTGTTTACTTTCCTGATTTCTGTGACACTGGTGACATAATCCATGCTGACCCAGCGTGATGATGTAATGCAGGCCTCGCACATGCCAGCAAGTGGTTAGACCAGCTTTATTAGCCAATGGGAAGGGAGCCAGATGATGATTGTTAGCGGGATGGCCATGTTTGAAAAACATGCGCTAACCTGCTATTTTCAGTGGAAAAGAAAAGTTGGTTTCACAGACTCACTGCTTGTGTCCTTCTAACCCTGAATGCTCATGAAACATACGTCGTTCACTTTCATGCTCTTTAAGTTTTTTGTGGAAGGTGCAACATTGACCTTCCATTGTCTCGTTTGCAGGTTTTCTCACTGAATCTTGGAGATGTTTACATTTTTTTGTAGCTTTCCCTTGAGCCAGTGATAAACACAACAGGGACTGATTAACATTCCTAACATTTTGATTTTAGTTTAGGATTTAAAAAAGGATGAATATCTTATCAATGTTTCTCAACAGTTTTCTTTATCAAGCTTCTGACCAAAGTTCTCAGGTGTTTTTTCGTTGCAGAAGCTTTCTAAAGCTTCACATTGTACTCATTTTGATTTGATGAACTGTAGCTTTGTGTTTGAATGTCTTTTGTCTAACTGTAAAACTTGCATTCTCTTCTAGTTGATCTAGATTCTCCTGAAAGGGACATTTTGTTCCTGTTGGATGGATCAGATGAGACTCTGACTGACTTCCAGGCAATGAAAACCTTTGTCCAACAAGTAGTAGAAACACTGAATGTTGGTGAAAATAAAGATCGTGTTTCTTTGGTTCAGTATAGCCAAGACCAGCAAACTGATTTCAGTTTTAACAGCCACCTGGATAAAGAAGCTGTTCTTAATGCAGTTCAGCAACTGAACCATAAAGGGGGCAACCTCCGAAACACTGGCGCAGCTCTCCGCCATGCGAGGAGAAGCTCTTTTACAGAGGCCTCAGGCAGCCGGCGTAGGGAGGGTGTCCCTCAGATACTGGTCCTGTTGACAGGAGGAAGATCTGGAGATGATGTGTCAAAGGCAGCTGTTGATCTAAAAAAGGACAAAGTTGTTCCATTTTGTGTCGGAACAAGAACTGCTGACCTTTTAGAGCTTCAAATGATTGCATATAACCCGTCCTACGCCTTCTCCGTTCCTACGTTTCATGACACTGGAAGCATTCATCAGCAGCTTGTGTCATTGGTTAAAAGGGTGCCACGGCAACAACTCAGAGAAAAAGCACAGAGTTCTATAGGTAAGACTGTTTGCATTTCCAGAGACAATTTGCTGACATGTTGAAGAGGGCTGAAGTTGAACAGAGTCAGTAAATCATCAGCAGTTCGCTTCATTCTAACAGGTGCTCAGTAATCCACCCTGGTCCACATTTTTAAAGAGTTACAGCTGCAAACATCTGTAGAATAATGGTTGTCTTTGGTTGGAATATATATAAAGGAATGCCTGTTTGTTCTGACTTTATAGGTTTCTCAAGCAGTTTAAAATCATGCAGCCTCAAATATAACCACCCAACCCTCAGTACCTGCTGCCATGATGTCCTGCTGGTGAAAGTTCAGGAAACATCAAAACAAATGTTAACAGTAACATTAATAAAGGGGAAGGCCACAAAGGAGGAGAACTCAGTTTATTTCTATAGCGCCAAATCACAACAAGTCATCTGATGGCCTTTATAGAGAGAATCCAGTCAGATTGGTTCAAAGTTTCTGTCAAGGAAAACCAGCTGATTGCATCGACTTATTGATAATTAAGCAATCCCTCAATCTGAGCATGCTTGTAGTGACAGTGGAGAGGAAAGCTCCCTTTAAACAGGAAGAAACCTCCAGCAGAACCAGGCTCAGTCTTAAATTTAATCCCATCCAAATGAAGTGGCTGACTAATCAGCTTCTTTTTCAGAGACTCTGGTCCAAAGACTATAACTTCTGTTTTGTCTGCATTCAGAAGCAGAAAGTTAAGAGTCATCCAGGTTTTTATGTCTTCAGACATGCCTGTAATCTATGTAATGGGTTAGCTTCATCTGGATTATAGACAGATATAGCTGGGTATCATCAGCATAACAGTGGAAATTAAATGGTCAGTTTAATGAGGAAAAAGGGTTAAACTTTACAAAACCATCACTTGTAAACGGTAAAGAGACTATTTATATGGACTGACAGATTATTGTTGTTACTGTAAACGGGAAAATAGTTGAATCTAGTAGACAGATTGTATTTTAGGGGACAGGAGGAAATCTTTGGCAGAATATTTGCAGCTAAACATTCAAACACAGTTTTGCATTTTTAGATTTTCCTTAGTATCTTAAACTCTTAACGTCTTTTATCTGTTAAGGTTCTACGGCGCAAACAGAGGAACAAGATGTAGTGTTTTTACTGGACTCCTCTGATGACATGTTGAGCGACTTCACGCAGCTGCTCGGCTTTGTTGAGCAGATGGTGGAGAGACTTGGAGTAGATGAGAGGAAAGATCGAGTTTCTGTGGTTCAGTTCAGCCGTGAAGCTTCTGTTGAGTTTTTCCTCAACACGCACCAAACACGGCAGAGTGTTACCGACGGTGTGAAAAACGTCAGACCGAAAGGAGGCAGTGAACGCAACACAGGCGCTGCCATGAATTATGTGAAGGAGCGTGTCTTCACAGCTTCCTCTGGAAGCAGGCGTCACCAAGGCGTCCCTCAGAGCCTGGTTCTTCTCACTGGAGGAGTGTCGAGTGACGATGTCAGGAATGCAGTGCAAACGTTAAAGGAAGACGGTGTGAGGATATTTGTGGTGGGGCTAAAGGATGCAGACGTTCTTGAGATGCAGACTATCTCCCAGGAAGCCAGTAATGCTTTCCTAGCCGCAGATTTAAATGACATGTCAGAAATTAGACAACAAATCCTTTCATCCATTGAGAAGAGTGAGAAATCTGCTGTGACCACAGCATCACACGGTAAGATTTACACCTCTAGATCTGAGGCTAAAGCTTAGGCTAAAGGTTAGGCTAAAGGTTAGGCTAGGCTGTTTCTCAATGGCCCTATCGCTCTATGTGTACTTGTGCTTTCTCGTGTGATTGTGAAACGTCATCAGCCTCAGCACTTCAGGAAGCACGATCTGACCCGGAAGCACGATCTGACCCGGAAGCACAATCTGTACCATCAGCTTATTGCTCAACCAGACATACATCCAGGTCACCCTTGATTTTACTTTGTAAAATAGACCTTAATGACGTTTTTTCCTCCCCAAAAATAGTAAACGTACTAAACTATAATGTTTTCAAGGTTAATAATGTATTTCCTAAGAAAATAAAACATCCTTTCTGTTCTTTTCCCGATCTGCACTGGAAATGGGATGCTACGCTACTTCCAGGAGCTAACTTTATCAGCTTTGGATTTAAACATAAATCTAGTCTTTTTGAGTTCAATGTTTTCCTTTCATGTTAACATTATGCTATATAGTGCGTCATCTAAAGAAAGAAACAACTAAAATGCAGATAAAGATGGTTTCATCAGATTTACTGCTCTGAGCGTGTCCCACGATGACGTCAGAGAAGCTGTTTAACGAAAAAAAAAAATGGAAAAAGCATCAAAATTGTCTCAGAAAAATTATGAAATTTGTTTAGAGATGTCATTTAGCATTATTTGTTGATTTAAGGATAAAAATAAGTACTTTTAGAACCATAATTACATTGGATAAATATTGTGCTAATGAACTGATGGTACGGATCGTGTAGTGACACTGAGAACGGACACAGTCCCCGTATGTTGTTCTGGCCCCTCCCTCTTTACCCAGCATGCATCAGAGCAGACTTGTCCATTCTCTAGACTGACAGCTGTCCCAGCATGCACTGCAGTAGCAGCAGCTTCCAGGTTAGCGCTCACAGAGCTCACAGTACTTCACACATGGCTATGCAGAGAGAGGGGCTAACGTTAGCCCATCTACAGTAGACGGGGCTAACGTTAGCCATTAATTATTATTCCCCCACTAAATAAGAAGTTATAATTTATTTATTATCTAGATACTATTAATAAGAGGAGGTGAAATGCAGCTTCAGACTAGCTTTGAATGTGGTGATGTCATCAGTATGCTGCTGTTCCAATTGACCCAGATTTATTCTGCTCCCGTTCTCCCCGAGTCCAGACTTTCCTGGGTTCTAGTCAAGAACATACACGGCGAGAACACGAGTCCTTATTCGCGTTCTGGTGAATTGAGAAAAAGTCTGAATTTCTGATCTGAGTTTTAATTGACTAAATATTGATAAGGATTAATCAATCTAAAATGATCCTTAGCCAAATGTTTGATCCATCTGATTACAGATCCCAGCAGCAAAGACGTGGTTTTTCTGATCGATGGTTCTGAAGCTTCTCAGCCGAGGTTCTCTGACATTCTAGAGTTTGTAGAAGCAATAGTGACAGACTTAAGTATCGGGAACAACAGGCACCGCGTGGCTGTGGTCCAGTACAGCGACACGGCACAGACTAACTTCAACCTGAACCGCTACGGGACTAAGCACGACGTTCTTCAAGCGATTAACAGTCTCACTCACAAGGGAGGTCAACCTATAAACATTGGAGAGGCTCTCCAGTATGTGAGAGACCATGCATTTACTCCAGAGGCTGGAAGTAGGATCCGACAGGGAGCGCCACAGATACTGATCCTGCTGAGTGGCGGAAGGTCTGCCGATGATGTAAGAAACTCAGTGAGAGAACTGAAGGAAATGGGTGTTACCATAGTCGCCATTGGAAGCAGTGATGCAGACACCCTGGAGCTACAGACCATATCCCATGAACCTAGATACGCACTCTCTGTGGCCGACTACGGAGAGCTGCCCGCTGTAAAGCAGAATGTGTTGTCTTTGCTGAGAGAGACGTCGCATCATGCTTTGCATTCTATAGAGCTTGGTAAGAACAGAAGTCAATTCATGTTTTTTCCAGCGGAGAAAACTGTCTTGACGACAAACTGCTGCCTTTGAGTTCAACTTCCTGTCTTCATTGCAGATTCAAAGAAAAGTGACATAGTTTTTCTGATCGATGGATCATATGACTCCAGAAACGGATTTGAAGGAATCCGAGCTTTTATTCAAAGGATTGTTGAAAATGTAAATGTGAGTCATACTGGAGACCAGGTAGCTGTTGTTCAATACAGCCGTGATGCAACAGCTAATTTCTACCTGAACTCCTATTCATCCCAGTATGATGTGCTGAGTTCCATAAGAACGATGAGGCATAAGCTGGGACGCCCGCTTAACATTGGCAAAGCCCTGGAGTTCGTCAGGGATCATGTTTTTGATGCTGCAGTTGGAGGCAGAGGAGCTGATTTAGCTTCTCAGCATCTGTATTTATTTAGTGGTGGAAGGTCTGGAGATGATGTAAGAGGAGCGGCGCAGACGCTAAAGGCCAAAGGGATAAAGACTTTGAGCATTGGAACAAAGAACGCCGACACATTAGAAATGCAAACCGTCTCTTACACACCTGAACATTATTTTAATGTTCCCAACTTTAGCAACCTGCAGAGCATTTATGCATCCATGGAAAACAAATTCAGAGACTCACAAACAGCCACTGAGATCCTGACTGGTAAGAAGCAACACATGACAGCTCCCACGATGGCGGACCAGAGTTCCTGTTGCTAATGCATGACTTTGTTCATATGTAAACATTTCAGACACGTCTACAGCTGTAGAGGAACTACAGACGGCAGATATCGTCTTCCTCCTTGATGGATCTAATTACATGAAACCCAATGAAAGACTCGTTTTGGAGTTTGTCTTAGACTTTGTCAAGAAAATAGAGATTGGGCCAAATAACGTGCAGGTTGCTTTGGTCCAGTACAGCGCAGAGCCTGCTGCTGAATTTACTTTGAACAGATACTCACTGAAGGAAGAAGCCTTGAATCATTTGAGAAATGTGAAGCTGATGGGAGGGGGCTCAGTCAACACAGGCAGAGCCATTGATTTTGTGAGAAACGCGGTTTTGGTGGCTTCAGCTGGAAGCCGGCTCCAGCAGGGGGTCCCACAGGTTCTGATTTCTGTAAGTGGGAGCAAGTCGGAGGATGATGCCTTAGGGCCGGCGGGGAGGTTAAAGAATGCTGGAGTTTCTCTGTTTGCTGTTGGGGTGAGCACAGCAGATAGGAGCGAGATGGAGCAGCTAGCTCCAGGGGCCTGGTACTTTCTGAAGGATGTATCTGACTTCCTGCCAGTCAGACAACAGGTGCTGTCAGTCACTACCGCCACCAGAGGCTCTGTAAACCCAAGTGTTGGTAAGTGAACATTTCTTTCATTGAAATAATTACAGAACTATATTAACGTAGTTGTCCAGCAGTACTAATCAAAAACATTCAACTATTTACGTTCCTAGGATTAACTTCTACTAAGAGAGATATTGTCTTCCTGATTGATGGCTCTGATGATGTAAGGAGTCAATTCATCTCTATACGTAAATTCATTGCAAACCTGGTTCAGAACTTGGATCTGGACCAACAGCGAGATCAGATTGCTGTTGTGCAGTACAGCAACAATGCTAAGATGGAGTTCAGTCTAGATGCCTATAGCACCAAAGGCAATGTTCTGCAGCACGTTGCCAGGCTCCAACCAAAAGGCGGCCGGCCTCAGTATATCGGTGCAGCTCTGCAGTTTGTGAAAGACAATGTTTTTGTTCCCAAGGCTGGAGCACGAATTAATGAAGGAGCCAGTCAGGTACTTTTTGTCTTGGCTGGCGGTCGTTCGAGGGATTCTCCACGTGGCCCAGCAAGGGCATTAAAAAGAGGCGGGGTTGTTATATTTGCAATCGGTTCCAGACTTTCCAGTTCAGCTGAAATGCAGGCTATTTCAGACCATGCTTTCTCCATCCCTGACTTTGTTAATCTTGCTGGAATTCAACAACATGTATTAAGGCACCTAACTGCAATCGAAAGTCCTAAGACTGTCGAAGGTAAGAGAATACCTTATTGCAAATTTGTAATAAATATGAGTAAATATACTATATATATATATATATATATGAGATATTAGGGCTGTAACGATATGTATATTTGTGTCAAACTCAACGGTGCACTACTTGCAGTTCGGTATGGATCTTTACAGAATAGATGTGTTCTCAGTTTATCACACCACAGAAATGTTTCATTAACAAACAATCAAACATATTTTTTATATTAGTTTATTTACTATTGATTTATACTATTTATATTATTATTTTATCCATTCGGCTGCGTCCTCCTCGCCCTCCGTAATAAACGGTGTGGGACGGTTTCTATGTTGACTGAGGCAGAGAGGTGATTCTCAGAGAGATCTGGGAAGTTTTTCTTTCTTTTTCCATAAAGAGGTGAAAGAGATCCGCTGCGCTGACCTGCTCCGTCTGCTCCTCCTTATTCTGGTTTCTGTGAGGCTCAAAGTGGATCAACTACTTTATCCGTTTTCTGTCCTCCTGAACTCCTGTCATGGGGAAAGTTTCTATTTTAATGTTTCATTCATTGTTTTTTGCTCCAGTCAGCCCTGCTTACTATAAACGCGACTCCAAACCGACTCTTTCCCGTGAGATTTCCAGATTTTATTTTGTTTTTCCCCCCAAAGCGGATGTGTTTTACTTAGTAACCGCTTCCCTCTTCCTGTCAGACCCATGAAATTGCTGCTGAATTGCTGCGTAGCCTGACTGAAAAAGACCTGGGCTCTATATCAGTCGGAGCTACGCTGCCCCCTGCAGGAAATCATCTCTGCATTAACTGCGAAACACACACAGACCACCTGGATTTGAAGTATAAATCAACCGTTACAGACTTCTCAGACTCAGGCTTTTACTGATTCCTCATGTCTCATCAGCCTGAAGACGAAACAAAAGCAGATTTCATTATAAGATCCTTCAGCACTTCATAAACAAATAGTTTTATTTGATAACAACAGAGATAGATCCATGAGTGTAGAGAATCGTGTGCAGTTGCACAAACACACAAACGAAACCGCAAACTCAACAACATATAAAAACCAAACCTTCATCATTCACTGCTGCTGCCGGTTGACATGGAATGGTGAGTGTATGGAGGAGAGTAAGGATTTTAGACGTTCCCACCTACCTGCCCTGCATGCACGACCCCATGTCTACAAACTGTAACCACTTTGGAGACACTCGTCTCACCATAGTACTTTATATACCAAATATTCTCAGAATAATGCATTAGTGTAATACTTACTGTAGAGTTCCTGCCCAGCAGAACACATACAGTCTCAGGGCCAGCAGCATTTAGTGTTTGATGTTTTATTTTTTATACTTCGGTTTAAATAATTCAAGATTACTTCCTACTTTGATGAATAATGCTGATGTATGTGGAAGAATTGTTCTTTTTTTACCTCATAGCCAGGATGTCCTTGTTAAAGAGACTCCAAATCTCAATAGACTTTCCTTCCTGGTAAAATAAACTTTAAATAAAATTAAAAAAGTAAACATATCCACTAGTGCTGCACCAATACCAGTATCGGGCGGCGCCCCAATCAAGCACTAAAATGGTGGTATTGGTATCGGCGAGTACCAACAAATAGAGCACCGATACCATTCTGAGAGCCAAAAGTTTTTTCAACTATTGTCACCCATTCCAGGTAGGCAATAAAACGTTCTACTGAATTCATTTTGTTTTAGTCTTTTTCCTGCTTCACTAAGGAAGGCAGCAGCAGGAAGCCATGATGGTGATTATTTTACATCCAAGTAGTCTGCAGTTCTTCATATATTCACACACATCAATTTCAAACAGATGGTATCGACCGATTCTGCACAGCCAGGTATCGGTATCAGGGCTAGAAAATTGCATTGGCGCAACACTATTATCCACTTTCGTGGTAGAAATTACTGATCAATTACAAAGCGGGAAATAAAGTTAGAAAATAAAAGTATTATGTAATTTCGAGGAGTGGGAAGTTAATTAATCATTTAGTTAGAAGAAAACTGATGAATTCTCTTTACATGGTGTGAAATCAGACATCAGACCGCTGAGTCTTCCCCTCCACTTGGAGTAGTGCACTAACCATCCTTTAACACATCAAATCAGGACCCTGTCTCTTCCATCCTTTGATCTACTTCTTTTTCTTTATATTTATTGACTGTTTGGGTTTTAAAAAATTACATCAACGTTTCTTTTGAGCCAGAACTATCTCAAACTATTTTGATTAATATTTCTAATAATAATAACAACAATATTAACAAATAATCTGTCAATAGTTGAACAAACAGGCTCAAAATAAATACATTTTAATTATGTAATTTACATGTAATGTGTGCTTGCAGGTTACCAGTCACAGGAATGTAATTTTTCTATGCATTTGTGATTCAGGCAATCTGGAAAAAGAAAAGTAAACTGCTGTGGTGTTTTTAGTTTTCCCTGATGAGGAGGAGTAAAATTAAATAGGGGGAGGAAAAACGAATAGTGACGTGTGTACCGAGATGTGCAGAGCGGTGAAGTATATGTACCGTTACAGCCCTAATTTAAATATGTATATAATAATAAGGTTTAGAATAGGGCTCATGGAACGGCTGTAGAAATGGCCAATGAATGATTGACAATCTTTGGAATTTACGAACAAACCGGACAAATATGTGACTGTATCAAGCATATACATTTAGTGACCAAAGCAGTTGCCTGTCTAAAATCAAACATATGTAGGAATGGAAATGAGGGGAATATTTGTTTAGTTTCCAATGTACCTCTCACACTCACTATGTGTTTCTTTTATCAAAACTGAAAAGTGCTTGTTACTAAATTTCTTTTGTTAAACACTCCTCCAACTGATCATTATTCAGTAAAACATCTTTGATGCAAGGTTTTCACTTCTTTCCTTCCTTTTTCCCTCAGTTGACACTGCCAAAAAGGATATTGTATTCCTCCTTGATGGTTCCGATGCCACGAGGAATGGCTTCCCCGCTATGCGTGATTTTGTTGAAACAGTGGTTGAAAAACTCAGTGTGGGAGAAAACAAAGACCGTGTCTCTGTGGTCCAGTTCAGCAGAGAAGCTGAAGTCCATTTCTATCTGAACACTTACAACAACAGAGAGGACATACTGGATGCGGTCAGAGGACTTAGACACAGAGGAGGAAGACCCCTCAACACTGGGGCAGCCCTCCAGTACGTCAGGGACAATGTCTTTACAAATTCCTCAGGAAGTAGACATCAGCAAGGTGTCTCTCAGATGTTGATTCTGCTAACTGGGGGAAAGTCTTTTGACAATGTTGATGCCCCAGCCTCTGCTCTCAAACAGCAGGGCATCCTTGTCATTGGTATTGGAACAAGGACCTCTGACAGTAGAGAGCTGCAGAAGTTGTCATATGAGCCCAGTTATGCACTGTCGGTATCTGAGTTCTCCGACCTCCCTCGTGTCCAAGAACAACTCTCCTCTGTCATGAGCACAGCGCTGTTAAAGGCTACACCTTTGGTTCCAACAGTGACTGGTAAGACAGTGACACAATTCCACCATCTTAGGTTTTGTAGGATGCTGTCTGTAGTGAGTTCATGTATATTTTGCCACAGCCTAGGTCACGCAGCATCAGTCTGAATAGCACAGCTTTGCTTAAAAAAACAGGCTGTAAGGAAATATTGGGACTTAAGCTTAAGTATCTGAATTGAACTTGTGAATCATTTGCTGCTTGAGCTTAAAAATGTCCCAATTCTTATGTCCCCTAGTGGTGAGGCAGCATACAGGAAGAGATGTGGTGTTCTTGCTGGATGGATCTGACGGCACAAGATCTGGCTTCCCAGCTATGCGAGATTTTGTCCAAAGAGTAGTAGAAACTCTTAGTGTGGATGAAAACAAAGACCGTGTGTCAGTGGTTCAGTACAGCAGGGATCCAGCTGTCCACTTCTATTTGAACACCTACATGACTAAAGGCCAGATCCTTGATGCCGTCAGGGGTTTGAGGCACAAAGGCGGAAGACCCCTTAACACTGGAGCAGCTCTCCAGTACTTGCGGGATAACGTCTTCACTGCCTCTGCAGGAAGAAGGCAGTCGGAGGGAGTTCCTCAGGTCCTTATATTTCTAAGTGGTGGACGATCTTCAGACAGTGTCGACGCACCAGTGGCTGCTCTCAAACAGATGGGCGTCTTGATCTTTGCAATTGGAAGCAGAGGCTCTGATAGCAGAGAATTGCAAAAAGTGTCCCACGATCCCAGCTATGCTCTATCTGTGTCAGAGTTTACTGACCTTCCCAGTGTCCAACAACAACTTCAGGCCTCTGTGGACGCCGTGGTTATTGACGCTACTCCTGAATCACCAACTGTACATGGTATGTTATCAAACATATACATTTGGTGACCAAAGCAGCTGCCTATCTAAAATCAAACATATGTAGGAATGGAAATGAGGGGAATATTTGTTTAGTTTCCAATGTACCTCTTACACTCACTATGTGTTTCTTTTATCAAAACTGAATTGTGCTTGTTAGTAAATTTCTTTTGTTAAACACTCCTCCAACTGATCATTATCCAGTAAAACATCTTTGATGCAAGATTTTCACTTCTTTCCTTCATTTTTCCCTCAGTTGACACTGCCAAAAAGGATATTGTATTCCTCCTTGATGGTTCCGATGCCACGAGGAATGGCTTCCCCGCTATGCGTGATTTTGTTGAAACAGTGGTTGAAAAACTCAGTGTGGGAGAAAACAAAGACCGTGTCTCTGTGGTCCAGTTCAGCAGAGAAGCTGAAGTCCATTTCTATCTGAACACTTACAACAACAGAGAGGACATAGTGGATGCGGTCAGAGGACTTAGACACAGAGGAGGAAGACCCCTCAACACCGGGGCAGCCCTCCAGTACGTCAGTGACAATGTCTTTACAAATTCCTCAGGAAGTAGACATCAGCAAGGTGTCTCTCAGATGTTGATTCTGCTAACTGGGGGAAAGTCTTTTGACAATGTTGATGCCCCAGCCTCTGCTCTCAAACAGCAGGGCATCTTTGTCATTGGTATTGGAACAAGGACCTCTGACAGTAGAGAGCTGCAGAAGTTGTCATATGAGCCCAGTTATGCGCTGTCGGTATTTGAGTTCTCCGACCTCCCTCGTGTCCAAGAACAACTCTCCTCTGTCATGAGCACAGCGCTGTTAAAGGCTACACCTTTGGTTCCAACAGTGACTGGTAAGACAGTGACACAATTCCACCATCTTAGGTTTTGTAGGATGCTGTCTGTAGTGAGTTCATGTATATTTTGCCACAGCCTAGGTCACGCAGCATCAGTCTGAATAGCACAGCTTTGCTTAAAAAAACAGGCTGTAAGGAAATATTGGGACTTAAGCTTAAGTATCTGAATTGAACTTGTGAATCATTTGCTGCTTGAGCTTAAAAATGTCCCAATTCTTATGTCCCCTAGTGGTGAGGCAGCATACAGGAAGAGATGTGGTGTTCTTGCTGGATGGATCTGACGGCACAAGATCTGGCTTCCCAGCTATGCGAGATTTTGTCCAAAGAGTAGTAGAAACTCTTAGTGTGGATGAAAACAAAGACCGTGTGTCAGTGGTTCAGTACAGCAGGGATCCAGCTGTCCACTTCTATTTGAACACCTACATGACTAAAGGCCAGATCCTTGATGCCGTCAGGGGTTTGAGGCACAAAGGCGGAAGACCCCTTAACACTGGAGCAGCTCTCCAGTACTTGCGGGATAACGTCTTCACTGCCTCTGCAGGAAGAAGGCAGTCGGAGGGAGTTCCTCAGGTCCTTATATTTCTAAGTGGTGGACGATCTTCAGACAGTGTCGACGCACCAGTGGCTGCTCTCAAACAGATGGGCGTCTTGATCTTTGCAATTGGAAGCAGAGGCTCTGATAGCAGAGAATTGCAAAAAGTGTCCCACGATCCCAGCTATGCTCTATCTGTGTCAGAGTTTACTGACCTTCCCAGTGTCCAACAACAACTTCAGGCCTCTGTGGACGCCGTGGTTATTGACGCTACTCCTGAATCACCAACTGTACATGGTATGTTATCAAACATATACATTTGGTGACCAAAGCAGCTGCCTATCTAAAATCAAACATATGTAGGAATGGAAATGAGGGGAATATTTGTTTAGTTTCCAATGTACCTCTCACACTCACTATGTGTTTCTTTTATCAAAACTGAATTGTGCTTGTTAGTAAATTTCTTTTGTTAAACACTCCTCCAACTGATCATTATCCAGTAAAACATCTTTGATGCAAGATTTTCACTTCTTTCCTTCATTTTTCCCTCAGTTGACACTGCCAAAAAGGATATTGTATTCCTCCTTGATGGTTCCGATGCCACGAGGAATGGCTTCCCCGCTATGCGTGATTTTGTTGAAACAGTGGTTGAAAAACTCAGTGTGGGAGAAAACAAAGACCGTGTCTCTGTGGTCCAGTTCAGCAGAGAAGCTGAAGTCCATTTCTATCTGAACACTTACAACAACAGAGAGGACATAGTGGATGCGGTCAGAGGACTTAGACACAGAGGAGGAAGACCCCTCAACACCGGGGCAGCCCTCCAGTACGTCAGTGACAATGTCTTTACAAATTCCTCAGGAAGTAGACATCAGCAAGGTGTCTCTCAGATGTTGATTCTGCTAACTGGGGGAAAGTCTTTTGACAATGTTGATGCCCCAGCCTCTGCTCTCAAACAGCAGGGCATCTTTGTCATTGGTATTGGAACAAGGACCTCTGACAGTAGAGAGCTGCAGAAGTTGTCATATGAGCCCAGTTATGCGCTGTCGGTATTTGAGTTCTCCGACCTTCCTCGTGTCCAAGAACAACTCTCCTCTGTCATGAGCACGGCGCTGTTAAAGGCTACACCTTTGGTTCCAACAGTGACTGGTAAGACAGTGACACAATTCCACCATCTTAGGTTTTGTAGGATGCCATCTGTAGTGAGTTAATGTATATTTTGCCACAGCCTAGGTCACGCAGCATCAGTCTGAATAGTACAGCTTTGCTTAAAAAAACAGGCTGTAAGGAAATATTGGGACTTAAGCTTAAGTATCTGAATTGAACTTGTGAATCATTTGCTGCTTGAGCTTAAAAATGTCCCAATTCTTAGGTCCCCTAGTGGTGAGGCAACATACAGGAAGAGATGTGGTGTTCTTGCTGGATGGATCTGACGGCACAAGATCTGGCTTCCCAGCTATGCGAGATTTTGTCCAAAGAGTAGTAGAAACTCTTAGTGTGGATGACAAGAAAGACCGTGTGTCAGTGGTTCAGTACAGCAGGGATCCAGCTGTCCACTTCTATTTGAACACCTACATGACTAAAGGCCAGATCCTTGATGCCGTCAGGGGTTTGAGGCACAAAGGCGGAAGACCCCTTAACACTGGAGCAGCTCTCCAGTACTTGCGGGATAACGTCTTCACTGCCTCTGCAGGAAGCAGGCAGTCGGAGGGAGTTCCTCAGGTCCTTATATTTCTAAGTGGTGGACGATCTTCAGACAGTGTCGACGCACCAGTGGCTGCTCTCAAACAGATGGGCGTCTTGATCTTTGCAATTGGAAGCAGAGGCTCTGATAGCAGAGAATTGCAAAAAGTGTCCCACGATCCCAGCTATGCTCTATCTGTGTCAGAGTTTACTGACCTTCCCAGTGTCCAACAACAACTTCAGGCCTCTGTGGAGGCCGTGGTTATTGACGCTACTCCTGAATCACCAACTGTACATGGTATGTTATCAAACATATACATTTGGTGACCAATGCAGCTGCCTATCTAAAATAAAACATATGTAGGAATGGAAATGAGGGGAATATTTGTTTAGTTTCCAATGTACCTCTCACACTCACTATGTGTTTCTTTTATCAAAACTGAAATGTGCTTGTTAGTAAATTTCTTTTGTTAAACACTCCTCCAACTGATCATTATCAGTAAAACATCTTTGATGCAAGGTTTTCACTTCTTTCCTTCCTTTTTCCCTCAGTTGACACTGCCAAAAAGGATATTGTATTCCTCCTTGATGGTTCCGATGCCACGAGGAATGGCTTCCCCGCCTATGCGTGATTTTGTTGAAACAGTGGTTGAAAAACTCAGTGTGGGAGAAAACAAAGACCGTGTCTCTGTGGTCCAGTTCAGCAGAGAAGCTGAAGTCCATTTCTATCTGAACACTTACAACAACAGAGAGGACATAGTGGATGCGGTCAGAGGACTTAGACACAGAGGAGGAAGACCCCTCAACACCGGGGCAGCCCTCCAGTACGTCAGGGACAATGTCTTTACAAATTCCTCAGGAAGTAGACATCAGCAAGGTGTCTCTCAGATGTTGATTCTGCTAACTGGGGGAAGGTCTTTTGACAATGTTGATGCCCCAGCCTCTGCTCTCAAACAGCAGGGCATCTTTGTCATTGGTATTGGAACAAGGACCTCTGACAGTAGAGAGCTGCAGAAGTTGTCATATGAGCCCAGTTATGCGCTGTCGGTATCTGAGTTCTCCGACCTCCCTCGTGTCCAAGAACAACTCTCCTCTGTCATGAGCACAGCGCTGTTAAAGGCTACACCTTTGGTTCCAACAGTGACTGGTAAGACAGTGACACAATTCCACCATCTTAGGTTTTGTAGGATGCTGTCTGTAGTGAGTTCATGTATATTTTGCCACAGCCTAGGTCACGCAGCATCAGTCTGAATAGTACAGCTTTGCTTAAAAAAACAGGCTGTAAGGAAATATTGGGACTTAAGCTTAAGTATCTGAATTGAACTTGTGAATCATTTGCTGCTTGAGCTTAAAAATGTCCCAATTCTTATGTCCCCTAGTGGTGAGGCAGCATACAGGAAGAGATGTGGTGTTCTTGCTGGATGGATCTGACGGCACAAGATCTGGCTTCCCAGCTATGCGAGATTTTGTCCAAAGAGTAGTAGAAACTCTTAGTGTGGATGACAAGAAAGACCGTGTGTCAGTGGTTCAGTACAGCAGGGATCCAGCTGTCCACTTCTATTTGAACACCTACATGACTAAAGGCCAGATCCTTGATGCCGTCAGGGGTTTGAGGCACAAAGGTGGAAGACCCCTTAACACTGGAGCAGCTCTCCAGTACTTGCGGGATAACGTCTTCACTGCCTCTGCAGGAAGCAGGCAGTCGGAGGGAGTTCCTCAGGTCCTTATATTTCTAAGTGGTGGACGATCTTCAGACAGTGTCGACGCACCAGTGGCTGCTCTCAAACAGATGGGCGTCTTGATCTTTGCAATTGGAAGCAGAGGCTCTGATAGCAGAGAATTGCAAAAAGTGTCCCACGATCCCAGCTATGCTCTATCTGTGTCAGAGTTTACTGACCTTCCCAGTGTCCAACAACAACTTCAGGCCTCTGTGGAGGCCGTGGTTATTGACGCTACTCCTGAATCACCAACTGTACATGGTATGTTATCAAACATATACATTTGGTGACCAAAGCAGTTGCCTGTCTAAAATAAAACATATGTAGGAATGGAAATGAGGGGAATATTTGTTTAGTTTCCAATGTACCTCTCACACTCACTATGTGTTTCTTTTATCAAAACTGAAAAGTGCTTGTTAGTAAATTTCTTTTGTTAAACACTCCTCCAACTGATCATTATTCAGTAAAACATCTTTGATGCAAGGTTTTCACTTCTTTCCTTCCTTTTTCCCTCAGTTGACACTGCCAAAAAGGATATTGTATTCCTCCTTGATGGTTCCGATGCCACGAGGAATGGCTTCCCCGCCATGCGTGATTTTGTTGAAACAGTGGTTGAAAAACTCAGTGTGGGAGAAAACAAAGACCATGTCTCTGTGGTCCAGTTCAGCAGAGAAGCTGAAGTCCATTTCTATCTGAACACTTACAACAACAGAGAGGACATAGTGGATGCGGTCAGAGGACTTAGACACAGAGGAGGAAGACCCCTCAACACCGGGGCAGCCCTCCAGTACGTCAGGGACAATGTCTTTACAAATTCCTCGGGGAGTAGACATCAGCAAGGTGTCTCTCAGATGTTGATTCTGCTAACTGGGGGAAGGTCTTTTGACGATGTCGATGCCCCAGCCTCTGCTCTCAATCAGCAGGGCATCTTTGTCATTGGTATTGGAACAAGGACCTCTGACAGTAGAGAGCTGCAGAAGTTGTCATATGAGCCCAGTTATGCGCTGTCGGTATCTGAGTTCTCCGACCTCCCTCGTGTCCAAGAACAACTCTCCTCTGTCATGAGCACAGCGCTATTAAAAGCTACACCTTTGGTTCCAACAGTGACTGGTAAGAGAGTGACACAATTCCACCATCTTAGGTTTTGTAGGATGCTGTTTGTTGTGAGTTCATGTATATTTTGCCACAGCCTAGGTCACGCAGCATCAGTCTGAATAGTACAGGTTTGCTTAAAAACAAAAGGCTGTAAGGAAATATTGGGACTTAAGCTTAAATATCTGAATTTAACTTGTGAATCATTTGCTGCTTGAGCTTAAAAATGTCCCAATTCTTATGTCCCCTAGTGGTGAGGCAGCATACAGGAAGAGATGTGGTGTTCTTGCTGGATGGATCTGACGGCACAAGATCTGGCTTCCCAGCTATGCGAGATTTTGTCCAAAGAGTAGTAGAAACTCTTAGTGTGGATGACAACAAAGACCGTGTGTCAGTGGTTCAGTACAGCAGGGATCCAGCTGTCCACTTCTATTTGAACACCTACATGACTAAAGGCCAGATCCTTGATGCCGTCAGGGGTTTGAGGCACAAAGGCGGAAGACCCCTTAACACTGGAGCAGCTCTCCAGTACTTGCGGGATAACGTCTTCACTGCCTCTGCAGGAAGCAGGCAGTCGGAGGGAGTTCCTCAGGTCCTTATATTTCTAAGTGGTGGACGATCTTCAGACAGTGTCGACGCACCAGTGGCTGCTCTCAAACAGATGGGCGTCTTGATCTTTGCAATTGGAAGCAGAGGCTCTGATAGCAGAGAATTGCAAAAAGTGTCCCACGATCCCAGCTATGCTCTATCTGTGTCAGAGTTTACTGACCTTCCCAGTGTCCAACAACAACTTCAGGCCTCTGTGGAGGCCGTGGTTATTGACGCTACTCTTGAATCACCAACTGTACATGGTATGTTATCAAACATATACATTTGGTGTCCAAAGCAGTTGCCTGCTAAAATCAAACATATGTAGGGATGGAAATGAAGGGGAATATTTGTTTAGTCTCCAACTTTGCAATTGGAAGCAGAGGCCTTTACTGCAGATAATTACAAAGTCTATCACAGAAACCCTTATATGCTATGCACATATCAACATTTGCTTACTTCCCCTCTTTTGAGCAGGAACTTTGCTTCTTTATTAAGACTGATATTAATGATGGCCATATCTGCTATAGAAAAGCAATGTGATTGTTATTTTGTGTTGTGTTGTTGAGTGCAGCAGTACAGTTTTATTGAAATGACGAAGCCAGGATAGAAAGATTAATTATTTCTACAGTGGAAGTTTCTTTCCTGTTTTTGTGGTCAGGAATCTAGGATGTTCCTTTCACACTGTACTCAAACTCCATCAAGGTTTTTCTTACAAGTAAAAATAGCCAAATGTTTTATTGTTGACCAGAGTTTCTTTCATTGGCACAATAATTCAACTGGGCATCTTTCAGCTGCTGACATGAATAGATGCATTAGAAGAAAAAGATTGTGAGCACCCAACCTCTATTAAAAGCCAGATTGACTGTAATCTGGCTACATATAGACCTGGGTCAAGCCCATACCAATGAAACCAGTTCTACTGCTCTATAGGCTGTTAAGGTCATTTTGAATGTGGATTATGACATTGTCCTTTTATTTATTTGTCTTTCTGAAGGCCCTCGGAGAGACATTGTTTTTCTTGTTGATGGATCCGATAGTGTTGGACGAGAATTCGCCATCATCCAAGAGTTCATCCGTAGGTTGGTGGAGAGCCTTGATGTGGGAGAAAACAAAGTCCGAATTGGTGTGGTCCAGTATGGTGACTCTTCCCAGGCTGACATGTATCTCAATACATACAACACAAAAGAAGGTGTACTGAACAGCATCAGGGAAATGAGACAGCTTGGAGGAAGACAGCGTAACCTGGGCCAAGCCCTGAAGTTTCTCAGGAACAGTGTTATGATACCAGCACAAGGAAGCAGGAAGCAAGAAGGTGTACCACAGTTTGCCGTTGTTGTGTCCAGCAGGCCTTCAACAGATAATGTCAGGCTTGAAGCCACTTCTCTCAAAACATCTGGAGTTATCCCATTAAGCATTGGTACCAGGGAGATCGACCCCACAGAGCTACGTATGGTGTCATACATCCCAAGATATTCTTTCACTGTTGATGACCTCCCTGGTCTGTACACAGCTGAAGAAAGCGTCCGTGAAACACTAACAACGTTATCAGATGAAGAGATTGCAGCATTGAGGCCTGAAATCCCAACTGAAGGTAATTTATCCAAAATGTTATCTTCTGCAAAGCTCTGTGTAGGTATTCACCTATAAACTTGCTATATATAAAAAAGATTACCAACATACTTTTTAAAAACGATTAGAACATCCTTAAGTGCTTTTATATTACTGCTAAAACATCCCCAGATAGTATAGCAAGTTCTGAGCCCATCAATGTATTCAAGAATGGGTGGCTGACCAGTAACAGGGTGAGAATCACATCTTAGAGTTGGGACCAACTCAGCCTACTACCTTCATTTTGATTGAGCAGCTATTTCACTTCAAAAGCAGAACCTTTTACTTAATAGGTGAAGAGTCAGCAGGGATATATCATGAACCTGTAATGTGTGCAGCTTTATGGTGATTAAGCATCAACATTACCTTCTGTGGTTAAGTGGTTTTGGGCAGCTTAGATACAAAGTTAAAGACTTTCCAGTTTAAACCAGTGTCTAGAGTTTAAACCTACAGTGCTAAATGTCCGTAGCCAGAGGTGTTTATTCTAAATGTGTTTCCTGTTTCTGACTTGGAAACAGCAAACAGTGCAGATAGTAATATGAAAACATTACAAAAGGTTTTGTTAACTAAAATCTGGCAAAAGATTACTGTTAATGAAACATAGATATTTAGAGTCAGTGCAGAGAATCATTTGGAAACAAATCATGCAGGAAGTTTAATTATTTCACTGTGCTAACTGTGAGCTTAGACTCCACAAATGCAACAGTAATACTTTCAAGGCATTTGCCTCCCCACTGATCAACATATTAGGAGATTTGTGTTTCTACATGTTGTCTTCTCTATTGTTGTCCTTAATTATGTGATCATTCATCTCAACAAAATTCTCTGATTGTATTTTAACAGTAGTGCCACCACCACCACCACCATCACCACGGGGAGACGGGGATAAAAGAGACGTTGTATTTCTCATCGATGGTAGTATCGCAACACGTAGTGAATTTCCATCCGTTCGTGAAATGATAAGAAGAGTTGTGAGCCAGCTGGATGTAGGACTTGATAGGGTCAGAGTTTCAGTGGTGCAGTACAGCGATGATACGAAACTAGAATTCCTTCTTAATGAGTACTCCACCAAAAGGGAAGTGGACCAGGCTGTGTCAAGGCTCAGAAGCATGGCTGGAAGTCGTCTGAACACGGGGCGTGCCCTTGAGTGGGTTGCCAGGAACATCTACCAGAGATCTGCTGGAAGTCGTGTTGAGGAAGGTGTGCCTCAGTTCCTCATTCTGGTTACAGGCGGGAAGTCTTCAGATGACGTATCCACACATGCTAACCAGCTTAAGAGAAATCTGGTTGCACCTGTTGCCATCGGTTCAAGAAATGCAGATTTAGATGAGCTGCGACAGATTTCCCTAAGGCCAGAGCTTGTGTACTCTGTTGACAGTTTCCAACAACTACCAAGAGTGGAACCCCAGCTCATTAATTCTGTCCGAACAATAACCACCACTGACATCACAAGAGGTGTTCCAGTACAAGAAGGTAAGAGACATTTTTATAAAATGTAGTAACGGAACATAAGGTGTATTTGATTAATAGGTACGTACTAGAACAATTTTTGATTGTACTATTTTAATATCTCTGTTAATATTTCAGAGCTACTGGATATTGGGAAGAAGGATATAATTTTCCTTGTTGATGGTTCAGACAGCACAGGTCCTGATGGCATTGCCTATATTCGGGACTTTATCATCAGCATTGTCCAACAACTTGATGTGCAGCCTGAAAAAGTTCGCATTGCTGTTGTCCAGTATTCAGACAGAACCCAAACAGAGTTCTCCCTTCGGACACACAACAGCAAGCAAGATGTGTTGTCTGCTATCAAACGCCTTCGTCAGCTTGGTAGACGTTCCTCAAACCTGGCCAGTGCCATTGATTATGTCTTGGAGAGGGAAGTAAAACCATCAGCTGGCGTTCGTCTATCAGAGGCCTCCCAGCATCTTGTGGTTCTCACAGGTGAAAAGTCCAGCCAGTCAGTTTCTCTCTTTGGACCTCTGTTGAAGAAAAGACGAGTGAACTGCATTGGAGTTGGGACTATGAATGCTGACAGGAGTCAACTTGGTGAAATTGCCTCATCCTCAGAAGATGTTGTTACTGTACTGTCATTCCCAAATTTGCCAACTGCAAAAACAAAGGTTGTTTCCAGACTGACAGGGATGGCTGTGGTAGATGAACCAGACGACCCTGACACTGAATATAATAGTAAGTTATGTCGATTTCAGATAATGTGCCTTAATATGTTTATCTGAATATAATTGTTTGGTGGGGGGGGGAGTGGGGGTTACATGATTGTGTGCTATTTGAGACTTGTTTAAGTCTTGGGGTGGTGTCTATTTAGCGTAGCTAACATAAAATAAAAACAGGGCCTAAAATACTACATGCACAAATTCTCAAACATCAAGCCTAATTATCTCTAGCAGATGGAATTCCTCTTTATCTAAATGCATTGCAATTTGTTTTAATCAATTGTAGTATCCCTTGTTGTTTTGTTTGTCAGCAAATTCACAACACATGTCATCTGAGGGCACTTAACAGATACAATCAAAAGTTACTGTTTGAAAATGTTCAAAAGTGAACAGTCCAACACATTCTAGTATTCATACTTTGGACCTTGTGCTGACATATGACATTAAATGTGAAGAAATTACAGTGTTTTCTCCAAACCCTGTGCCCTCTAACCACTTTTAGTCATTTATCATGTTAATTTATCAAGTTAATGATGAATTTTCCTCATGCTCCAGGGTTACCTGTGGAGTACCAAAGCAATAATTCTAGGACCAAATCTCTTCACTCTAGTCTTTGCAGTCTTTAAAATAGAAGCTGATTAGTCAGTCACTTCATTTGGATGGGATTAAATTGATCTCAGATAGCAACATATAAATGATTAATAATACTGAAAATAAAAATAATAATAGTAAAAAGATGAAGCCATCTTAGAGAAAATAGAAAGGCCATCACAGAGTATTGAGGTTTCAGCTTCCAAGTATTTACAGTTCAGTCATGGAACTCATTCCGGAGAAATATAAGCCCTCCCATCATCATTAAAAAGACCAATCACACAACCCATACCACCTGTGGTTATTTGATTTGAATCTTACTTGGAATATACTGAGGAGGATTAACCTCAAACCTGTTCAGTTACATCAGCACTCCAACTACAAATTGCTCTGGTGGAGCCAACAGAATAACAAAGACTCCTGGACAGCTGTGGAGACATCTTCAAAAAGCTTAGTGAAAGTCCAATTGCCTTCCAATTTTACTAGTTAACAGATGACTGAGAATTTACACAGGCAACCCACAAGTTTAATATTATCATTCTGTTTTTTTGAGTCCAAATAGGCAGAAATTCAAAAGACAGCAACAAAGATGCTGATGCAATCTCTGCTTTGTCTAATTTTCCAGTTGTGGTGTAAGTTTTTTTTAGTTCTTACACAGTTTTGTTATAGTAAAATTATTTTCCTTGTTTTTTCGAAGATGTGCCAGGACCCAAAAAGGCTGATATAGTGTTCCTAATGGATGGATCCATCAACCTTGGCCTAGAAAACTTCAAGATAGTTAGGGACTTTATTATGACTTTGGTTGATTCATTCTTCGGTGAAACAGACGACCTACGAATTGCACTCGCACAGTATTCCACGGATGTAACTGATGCCTTCTACTTCAACACCTTCAAGGACAGGGAGGAAGTTGTGGAGGCCATTGGCAGCATAGAATACAAAGGTGGACGTAGAATCAATACTGGTGCAGCCATTCGCCATGTTCAGGATATCCATTTCACCAGGCAGAAAGGCAGTAGGATGGATGAAGGCATCCCTCAGATCCTCATGCTCATCACTGGAGGTCGCTCAAGTGATGATGGGAAGACAGCAGCACTGGGTCTGAAAAGCAAAGGTGTGAAAGTCTTTGCTTTAGGGACTGGAGACATTCAAGAGGAGCTGGAGAACATGGCAAGTCGAACTTCCACCACGTTCCGAGGACAGGACTTCGAGGACTTATCACAGCTCCTGGAGCAAATCCTGCAGACATTAGATGATGAAGTCAAGGGGGATGGTTGTACTGATTCCCAAACACTGGTAACAGGTAAGACAATTCGTTTTGATCATTATTAACATTACAGCTGAAATTGTTCATCTGAAATGTGTGTTAAATTTTAGAGTTATGTTTTTAATAATCTGTGGTTTTTCAGAATGTCTTGATAACAAAAATGCTGTTTTACAGCTTGCGATGTTGAGGTGTTAGTCGGCTTCGATGTGTCTGGCCAGAACATCTTCAGAACTCAAAACAACCTTCAGAAAAAGATGGAAGCCATTCTGCAAAGAATTTCAAAAATGGCACCAATCAGTTGCTCGGGAGGCCAGAGTCCATCCATCCAAGTCGGTATGCTGGCCATGGATTCTGCCTCTGAGCCTGTCCAGATCGACTTTACAGACAATCCAAATGAGCTGTTTGAGGCCTTCAGAGGTCTGCAGAGTCGGGGCCCCTTCGTCCTCAACGCTCAGACCATCGTCGCCTATAAGAACCGGTTCAGACAGGGTAGCAACATAAAGGTTGGTCATTCAAACAGCTGAAGAGTACTTGCAGAAATGCTAAACAGTCACAAACTGCTCTTTGTTTCGACTCTCAAACTAAAGGTAATCATTCATCTGACTGACGGCCTTGATGCTCCATACTCTGAAGTAAAAAGACAAGTTGAAGAGCTTCGTCAGTCAGGTACAAAGATCTAACAGGGAAAACTTCACTACCTTCAAGCATCTTTTATGTCTCTGCAATATCAAATTCAGAAGTTTATATATCTGAGTAAAGTTGATTCTCAACATCTGCATAGTTAACAGCTTCATCGTGGTTGGGCTGGAACGAGCAGAACGGTTTGAGGAGGCTTTACTTTTGGAATACGGTCGTGGCTTTAGGTACACAAGACCCCTAAGACTCAATGTCATGGACCTAGACTATGAGCTTTTGGAGGAACTGGTGGGTACAGATACAAATCGAACATCTTTTTTGAGGATTAATCATTCTTGAAACACTTAAGGAATACCTTATTTTTCTTGTTAGGACAACATTGCGGAGCGTGAATGCTGTGGAGTTCCATGTAAATGTACTGGGAACAGGGGAGATCGAGGGGCAGTTGGGATGCCAGGGATTAAGGTACCATTTATTGAACATATATATTTTTTTCTAGGCACCACAGGAAAACTGATATTTTCATTGATCTGTCCTTTAGGGTAGTCCAGGATTCCCAGGGAGCCAAGGACATCCTGGAGACGAGGGTGGACCAGTGAGTCCGAACGCCTAGCACAGCCATGAAGGATCTTTTCCATTTTTTTTTCTGCTTTACGGCATTTATTTTATGTGATTACAGGGAGAAAGAGGTCCACCTGGTGTTAATGGGACTCAGGGTTTCCAGGGATGTCCTGGACAGAGAGGAGTCAAGGTAACATTTATTTATATATTGACATAGTTTTGATCTGTAAAGCTAAAGTAAAACAATAACATCATTTCTAATTACATATTTTCTTTTTAGGGCTCTCGTGGCCTCTCTGGAGAAAAGGTGAGTGTAGTTTTAATGAACAATAATTAACATGTCATGTTATATCTTGCTTAAACTGCTAGTGCTTTTTTAGGGTGAAATGGGAGAAATTGGACTTGATGGCATTAACGGGGAAGAAGTAAGTTTTTCTTATATATTGAAAATAGAAAATCATGTTTTCATTTTACTCTGTTATTTTGATCTAACTGGCTTTTTTAACATCCTCGCAGGGGCTAAGTGGAATCGCTGGGCCTCCGGGTGACAGAGGAAACCCTGGAGGGAGAGTAAGAAACTTTAATCACTTAAAGCGTTTTCTACAGATTAGTTTTTTAAAAATGTATTAAAAAGAAATGCCTTGGCCTTGTGTCTGTCTGTTTATAGGGTCCCAAAGGAGCGAAAGGAAAAACAGGCGACATAGGTCAAAGGGGAATCAGAGGTGACCCTGTACGTATTAAAAGTTGAATTGGTCCTCTCAGCTTTGTGTACTTAAACCATGATTGCAATTTGGCATTAAGGAGGCTCAATTGTTAGCGTTGTTGATCCTATGCTAGAAGTATGCGGGCTATTTCAGTTTTTACTCACAGCCTAAACAATGCATGTTTGGTTAGTTAGCAACTTCCTAAAGCTATTAATTGTAAGTCTTATTAATCTAATTTGTACATGTATTTGAAGTCATCAACAATAAAGACTCTCTTTTAGTAAATGGCCTGATATTATAGAGCCTATAGGGACTCCAAAGCACTTTAAACTGAATTCAATCATTCACACTGTCACACAGTGGTGACAGTGAGGTAACCTGTAGCTACAGCTTTCAACCTTTGGACACATCAGTAGGAAATTGTGATAAAGTGTCTTTCCCAAGAACACAATGGCTGAGCAGAAGGTGGTGGAGGAAAAGATTCTGCACATGGATGGATGGATGGATGGATGGATGGATGGATGGATGGATGGAAGAATGATGGATGGATGGATGGAAGAATGATGGATGGATGGATGGATGGAAGAATGATGGATGGATGGATGGAAGAATGATGGATGGATGGATGGATGGATGGATGGATGGATGGATGGAAGAATGATGGATGGATGGATGGATGGATGGATGGATGGATGGATGGATGGAAGAATGATGGATGGATGGATGGATGGATGGATGGATGGATGGATGGAAGAATGATGGATGGATGGATGGATGGAAGAATGATGGATGGATGGATGGATGGATGGATGGATGGATGGACGAATGATGGATGGATGGATGGATGGATGGATGGATGGATGGATGGATGGAAGAATGATGGATGGATGGATGGATGGATGGAAGAATGATGGATGGATGGATGGATGATGGATGGATGGATGGAAGAATGATGGAAGGATGGATAATGGATGGATGGATGGATGGAAGAATGATGGATGGATGGATGGATGATGGATGGATGGATGGATGGATGGATGGAAGAATGATGGATGGATGGATGGATGATGGATGGATGGATGGATGGATGATGGATGGATGGATGGATGGAAGAATGATGGATGGATGGATGGATGGATGATGGATGGATGGATGGATGGATGGATGGATGGATGATGGATGGATGGATGGATGGATGGATGGATTATGGATGGATGGATGGATGGAAGAATGATGGAAGGATGGATAATGGATGGATGGATGGATGGATGGATGATGGATGGATGGATGGATGGATGGAAGAATGATGGAAGGATGGATAATGGATGGATGGATGGATGGATGGAAGAATGATGGATGGATGGATAATGGATGGATGGATGGATGGAAGAATGATGGAAGGATGGATAATGGATGGAAAGATGGATGGATGGATGGAAGAATGATGGAAGGATGGATAATGGATGGATGGATGGATGGATGGATGGATGGATGGATGGATGGATGGATGGAAGAATGATGGATGGATGGATGGAAGAATGATGGATGGATGGATGGAAGAATGATGGATGGATGGATGGATGGATGGAAGAATGAGGGATGGATGGAAGAATGATGGATGGATGGATGGATGATGGAAGAATGATGGATGGATGGATGGATGGATGGAAGAATGATGGATGGATGGATGGATGGATGGATGGATGGATGGATGGATGGATGGATGGAAGAATGATGGATGGATGGATGGATGGATGGAAGAATGATGGATGGATGGATGGATGGAAGAATGATGGATGGATGGATGGAAGAATGATGGATGGATGGATGGATGGATGGATGGATGGATGGAAGAATGATGGATGGATGGATGGATGGATGGATGGATGGATGGAAGAATGATGGATGGATGGATGTATGGATGGATGGAAGAATGATGGATGGATGGATGGATGGATGGATGGATGATGGATGGATGGATGGATGGAAGAATGATGGATGGATGGACAATGGATGGATGGATGGATGGATGGATGATGGATGGATGGATGGATGGATGGATGGATGGATGGAAGAATGATGGAAGGATGGATAATGGATGGATGGATGGATGGATGGAAGAATGATGGAAGGATGGATAATGGATGGATGGATGGATGGATGGAAGAATGATGGAAGGATGGATAATGGATGGATGGATGGATGGATGGAAGAATGATGGAAGGATGGACAATGGATGGATGGATGGATGGATGGATGGATGGATGGATGGATGGATGGATGGATGGATGGAAGAATGATGGATGGATGGATAATGGATGGATGGATGGATGGATGGATAATGGATGGATGGATGGATGGATGGATGGATGGAAGAATGATGGAAGGATGGATAATGGATGGATGGATGGATGGATGGAGGGAAGAATGATGGATGGATGGATAATGGATGGATGGATGGATGGATGGAGGGAAGAATGATGGAAGGATGGATAATGGATGGATGGATGGATGGATGGAGGGAAGAATGATGGATGGATGGATAATGGATGGATGGATGGATGGATGGAGGGAAGAATGATGGAAGGATGGATAATGGATGGATGGATGGATGGATGGAGGGAAGAATGATGGATGGATGGAAGAATGATGGATGGATGGATGGATGGATGGATGGATGGATGGATGGATCCCTTTGATGCTACCTGAATGAATCTCCAAAACCAAGAGGCTCTCAGTGGGCTGAAGGTGAACCATGGGCAGAGCGAAGTTCTTCCTACAGTCTCTCACTTCTTCAGACCTTCTTCAGTCCAAAGCTCCATGTTCGTTAGAACGGAGGGCAGGAAGGGAAGAGCTGGGAGATACTCGGCTTGCTTCCAGATTGGTCTCCTCATTAAGTTTTGCAACCAAGTCTCCAAACTTGTGTTTAGTTTTAGTCTTGTTTAGTCATCAAACTGCGTCATCCAGCTTTTCCAGCTGACCTGGTTTATCTCTTTCACATCAGGGAACGAGGGGACAGGATAACGACACTCCAGGACCTAAGGGGGACCGTGGTGATGCTGGCCTGCCGGTATAGTCTCTCTCAGCTTTTTTCTGCTGTACAGGAAGTGTTAAACTTGGTTTATTATTGTGATTGGAATGTTGGTTATCTGATGACAGGGAGACCCTGGTTTAGACGGAGTGATAGGAGAACGGGGGGAAAATGGCAGACAGGTAAACAACTCTTGAAATCACTGAGCAATATTGGAGGCTTTAAATGAACCAAGGTGTGACTCTGTCCTTATCTTCCTTAGGGTCTGGATGGTAACAGAGGGCAACCGGGACCACCTGTAGGTCACTTTCTAGAGTTTGTTAATATTTGAATAACTTTCATAGTTAGCTAACATTCTGCTGCTTCCCTGAAGGGACGTCCCGGGTCAGCCGGAGCAAAAGGTCTGCCAGGACAGCAGGGCATCGCAGGATCAAGAGTGAGTTTGCTCTCTTCATTTCCATAACATTATCTGGATTAGAATTACAGAGATGGGGAAGCTTAGATATTCTGGATTTAATACTCCTAAAATTTCCTGCCAGCAGTTTGATGAGCTGCTTTCATTGGATTCCTACTGGCACATCTTTTTAGATAACGACATTCTTTAGTCATTAACAGAAATCATGAAAGAAAAATCAATCATTGAGACCAGCTTTGTCCTTCTGAAGGGTCGAGCTGGACCAATCGGTACTCCAGGACCTAAAGGGGAGGATGGGAATCCCGGTCCTAGAGTGAGTCCACCAAATGGATCTGCTGTTCTGTATCCGGGGTATCGTGCTAATCCTAAACCTCATCTGATGATGCTTGATTGTTCAGGGTCCTGGTGGTATCCCGGGTCCCGCCGGAGATACAGGAAGAAGAGGACCTCTTGGTCGCAAGGTAGAGAACCGGAGCGAGCTTGATGAGTGTCTGACTGTGAACGGGTCGGCTACGTAGCATGGATGGATATGCATGAGCCAACAGGGAGACGCTTGGTTCCGTTTCATTCAATCCGTAGAACCACATGATCCATCCTTTCCTGTTTCCTCTGAGATGTTTTCCTTATCCAGTGAATCTGCTTCTCATGGTCTCATTTTAGGGAGAACCGGGAGATCCAGGACCAGCTGGTGAGGGCGGTTCCATTGGACCCCATGGAGAACCAGTAAGAATAAACTCTTTTTCCATTAATTCCAGTTTATGACTCTCTTTGCTTAATTAACCCGTTATACCTCTGATTAATTATACTAATTCTACCCTAGCATGACATTCTCCTAAAACTTTATATATTTAGATCATTTCCATGAGATGAATGTTTTCTTTTTTTACTAACTTTGATCCTAAGATGGATCGGTCATATTAGGAAACAACTATAATACGTACTTTTCAGACAAATAAGCAAAAAAAATAAAGAGACTAAATTCTGTCAGTTTCCCCAACGTATATTTTTACATACTGGATATGTAAAAATATCCTAGATTAATGTTTTTCACTTTAAATAGTTAATCCTTTCAAGCTGAAGTCAGAAAATATGGAGATTTTATGGGTTTGTTCCCGTAGTGATCAGCATGTTTACATTACTACATAATAAATAAATATGGAATACATAAAATGATTTTTAAAGGTTTTACAGTTTTTTTCAGTGTCCTGTCTGGCGATGAGGCGATAAGAATAATTGTCTTGATGCCAAAAACGATAGCAACAGATTTGACTTTCACCAGTGGAGCAGTCCGGCTATCGCCACAGTGTTCCGCTTCCTTTATGCATTTAAATAGCTTTATGTTGTTGTTTTTTATAATCCATGCAGGGAGTCTGCTTTGTGTAGTTTTAACTTGCTCACATTAATTGTAACTGATTTCTTTGTTAATATAAATGTTAAATTTAAACCATCTTTAAATAAAAAATGTGACTGTTTGTCCCAGAAAACCAGCTGGTCACAGCATTTATGTCGTTTTTCCATTCAGGGTCCAGATGGTAGCGATGGTTTCGGTCCGAAGGGTGAGAAAGGAAGACAGGTGAGAGCAAAGGGCTGCATTTGCTCAGTAGAAATGGTTCAGGTGACCTTTAAGGTCAGTCAGTGAATAAATCAGGATGAAGACGATGCTATAAATCCTTTCCCACTGTGTGCGCTTCTTTAAAGGGAGGTACTGGTTTCCCAGGGAACCCCGGACCAAAGGTAGGCCACAGCTTTTCACTCCAGCTCAGATTTCATGTAAAGCGATGCTGCTGCATCTATCTGCCTGTTTTTCATGATTTCAGGGGGAAGCTGGAGACCCTGGAAAACTGGGTGGACCTGGAGCCCGAGGAAACCGCGGACAGAGAGTTTGTCTTTTTAGTCATTTCATTATATGCTACATAATTAATTTCTCTATGGAGTTACCAAATCTTTACAGCCGTGTTTAAGACTAAATGTCGACTCTTTCTAGGGAGTATCTGGGAAACCTGGACTGCCTGGACAGAAGGGAGAGGATGGGTATTCTGGACCCTACGTAAGCCTCCTAAAACCTTCAGCTTTATTCACATTCTCCAGGGCTGCTTGAACATGAAAAAAGCCCAGCTTTAGATGAGCTATAATGAGCTGCAGGGAGGGGAAGAAATGCTCCATGTTTTAAACTGCTTAGCCAGAGCAGAAGATGGAGCTAGCGGAGCTCTTAGACGGGGTATTAGTTAATTGTGTATGGGTCTGTTAACGAGCTTGTTTGTGCTTCTACAGGGACCCAAAGGACCAAGAGGACCAGGTGTTGTGGTACGTGTTCCTTACCTACGGAATAACCTTTTTCTGCATCTATTCTGTGTATATCTAGTTTCCTAAAAGTTGACTCTTCCTCCTTCCAGCAATGTGACCTAGTCCAGAAGATCAGAGATAACTGCCGTAAGTTTTCCTGACTTCAATATTATCGTTCACTCGGAGCACAAACCGATTCTTACAATGTTTTTATTGTTCTTTTTATCTTTATCAGCTTGCTGTTTTGGTGAGTATAAAAGTGTCTTTGCTTTGGATTAAAATGCTTCAGATCAGGCTGTGATCATGGCGGCAGGAAGTTAGACTAGGCCTCTCTGTGCGTGTTCTTAGGTAAGGAGGAATGTCCGGTCTACCCCACGGAGCTGGCTTTCGCCCTGGACGTCTCCCAGACTGTCGATCGCCAAGTTTTCAACAACATGCGAGACACTGCCGCCCTCCTTGTTAAAAACATCACCATCGCTGAGAGTAACTGTCCAAGAGGCGCTCGCGTTGCTCTGACACTGTACAGCAACGAGGTCATCACTGAGGTCCGGTTTGCCGACGCATTGAAGAAACGGTCGCTGGTGGATCGCATCGAGGGACTGCAAAAACCAAGATCCAACAAGGAAGCAAGTTTAGAAACAGCCATGACCTTTGTGGCCCAGAACACCTTCAAGAGAGTGCGCAGTGGTTTCCTTATGAGGAAAGTGGCCGTCTTCTTTGTTGGTCACCGGGTTAGGCAGACTCAGAGAATCACTAATGCCGCTCTTCGCCTTCACGATGCTGGGATAGCTACCTTGATCTTGGTGAACAGTGAGAACAGAGAGCTCAGCCGGGCTGTGCAGGTATGACCGACTGATGCAGCCTTTAACGGTTCTTTGAGACCAGCTTAACCTTCATTTTATATTTATCACCTCGTTTTATTATTCTCCCTGTAAAACAGGTGAACAATACAGCGCTGGCCCAGGTTATAGTTCTTCCTACCTCAGGAAGCTCCCAGTACAACTCAGCCTTCAAGAAGGTCCTGAACTGCCACGTCTGCTTCGGTAAGATGACCTAAAGCTGTTTCTACACATTTGTGTCAAACTACAGTAGCAGCAACCAAAATGGCCCCTACCAGTCAAAAGCCAGCTGAATGGCAACCTAAATATAGCCGAATGGTAGCTGACTGGCAGCCGGTCATGGAAAAAAGGATTCAACCCTTCACCCCAGTTAAATAAAAGGAAAATATCTTTGCAAAGAAAGAACAGTTCATCATACAGCCCTAATGGCAGCATTCTGCTCTGTTCTGCCTGAGCAGCGTTCGTTCCTCCTTACTTACAACAATGGAAAGCAGTCAGAGTCAAAACTAATTACAGACACTTTGGTTAAACAGTAACATGTTATGAATAAACCTGGAGAAAGAATCTGGTTTGTTATGGGAAAAAGCTATGTCTGGTCTACAAACACCATCCTGCAGAGAATGTTGTGGCCTTCAAGGTGAAACAGACTGAGTGAAAACTTTATAGTGAGTAAATAAGATAAATTAATATAGAAGAGAAATAAAAATTTTCTGCCAACACAGCCTAAATGCAGCCGAATGGCAGCCGAATGGTAGCTGAATGGTAGACAAATGGCAGCCGAACGGTAGCCGAATGGCAGCCGAACGGTAGACGAATGGCAGCCGAATGGCAGCCGAACGGTAGCCGAATGGCAGCCGAACGGTAGACGAATGGCAGCCGAATGGCAGCCGAACGGTAGCCGAATGGCAGCCGAACGGTAGACGAATGGCAGCCGAATGGCAGCCGAACGGTAGCCGAATGGCAGCCGAACGGTAGACGAATAGCAGCTGAATGGCAGCCAAGTGGCAGCCGAGTGGCAGCCGAACGGTAGCTGAATGGTAGACAAATGGCAACCAAATGGCAACCGAATGACAGCTGAATGGTAGCCGAATGGCAGCCGAACGGTAGCCGAATGGCAGCCGAACGGTAGCCGAATGGCAGCCGAATGGCAGCCGAACGGTAGCCGAATGGCAGCCGAACGGTAGACGAATGGCAGCCGAACGGTAGACGAATGGCAGCCGAATGGCAGCCGAACGGTAGACGAATGGCAGCCGAACGGTAGACGAATGGCAGCCGAATGGCAGCCGAACGGTAGACGAATAGCAGCTGAATGGCAGCCAAGTGGCAGCCGAGTGGTAGCTGAATGGTAGACAAATGGCAACCAAATGGCAACCGAATGACAGCTGAATGGTAGCCGAATGGCAGCCGAACGGTAGCCGAATGGCAGCCGAACGGTAGCCGAATGGCAGCCGAACGGCAGCCGAACGGTAGCCGAATGGCAGCCGAACGGTAGACGAATGGCAGCCGAACGGTAGACGAATGGCAGCCGAATGGCAGCCGAACGGTAGACGAATGGCAGCCGAATGGCAGCCGAACGGTAGCCGAATGGCAGCCGAACGGTAGACGAATGGCAGCCGAATGGCAGCCGAACGGTAGCCGAATGGCAGCCGAACGGTAGACGAATGGCAGCCGAATGGCAGCCGAACGGTAGACGAATGGCAGCCGAATGGCAGCCGAACGGTAGCCGAATGGCAGCCGAACGGTAGACGAATGGCAGCCGAATGGCAGCCGAACGGTAGACGAATAGCAGCTGAATGGCAGCCAAGTGGCAGCCGAGTGGCAGACGAATGACAGGAGATGATGCTTCTCTTTAGATATTAATGTCCTATCATGACAGAAAGAATATTTTAGATGTTTAAAAAAGGAATTGTAGGGGACTAGCCAAGGGTAATTCAAGGAAAGTCAAGAAACTTTGAATGGCTACGACTGTAATAAAGACATTAAAGCACTGAGAGAAAAATGATAATTATTGGGAGAACCACAGACTAGCATCTAAGCATTGGATATTTTACATAAAAAAAAAGCTCAAGCTGAAACGGTTTAGTTCTAGTTTTTATTGGGTTTAAAGTTTTTTTATGATTTGAAATTTTTTCCACTCAGGTTTTAAGATTTTGACTGAAATGTAGGCAGGTTCTATATGTAGACTACAGCTTAGGCTGGATGAGCTTCAACAGTTTGTTTCTGGAACGTCGCATAACTCCGTGCTCTGGTTTACCCCACGACTGTTTTCAGAAAAACAAAATCTCTTCCTTTGTTTGCAATTATATTATCATCATCATCATTTTGAAGATTTTTGATTGCTGTTAAAGCTTTGATTGTTGAATGTACCAGTGCTTTTGCATTAAGATCATCTTTGTTCTTTGTGTAGATTTCTGCTCTCCGGATCAAGTCTGTGACTTTATACCCCCAGCGACCAGCCGAGACCGGAGGTCGCTGACCTCTGATGTGGACATTGATATGGCGTTCGTCATTGACAGCTCTGAGACCACGTTCCCCTCCTTCTTCATTGAGATTAAACGATACATAGCTCACATCGTAGAAGCTCTCCACGTGACTTCGGATCCCATGACATCTGTTCATCATGCTAGAGTAGCTGTTGTCCAGCAAGCTCCTTATGCGTTTCTCCGCAACAGAACTGGTCTTCCCATTCACGTGGACGTTGGCTTGACCCAACACCGCTCTGCTCCAGACATCGTCAGGTTCCTGCTGGAGAAGACGGAGCAGCTGGAGGGCGGCCGTGCCCTCGCCTCGGCCATCGAGTCCACAGTGGAGCAGGTGTTTGAAAAAGCGCCGCTGCAGCGCGACAGGAAGGTGATTGTCCTCTTTGTGACCGGCAGCGTAGCGGAGGAAGAGGAGCAGCTGGTCCGCATTGCCAGTGAGATCAAATGCAGAGGATTCTTCCTGGTGATTTTTGGCGTGGGTAAAGCGCTGGGTCCCAGAGACGCTTACGTTCTGTCCCGCATGGCGAGCGAACCTTCAGATGTCTTCTTCAAACGCCTCGACCTCATTTCTGACTTCTATGACAAACACATCCAGACGTTTGGGCAGCTGTTTGCAAAGTACATCAGCTGTAAGTCAGACGCTGATTTCATTCTTCTCCACAATCACTGGAAGTACCTTCATCCTTTGTTTCTCTGCCTCTTAGTTGAAAACCGTCCTGAACTGTCCAAGAACTGTGCGTGGGTGCAGAGTGACCAGCCCCTGAAAAGCCCCCTCCCACCAGCTCCCCATCAGGAGTAAGATCGCTCCCTCTTTCTCTTCATGTGTTCATAACCAGTCTGTTTTCATTGCTGTTTTATTTGCTTTACCAGGAAACAACAGAAACACTATGAAACTAACCAGGCCGTTCATGACAAGAAGCTTCATGGTAAGATGTTCAGAAAGCAGCCAGATCTGGAGGTTAGAGCTCCAAGCTTCTACCAGCTGCTTCTACCAGTTCTATCCACTGGTTCTACCCCAGTCTGTCCTTCTGCTACATCTGCAACTCCTTGATCTCCCTGTCTGGATCTTATTAGTCAGGCTGAACTCTAATGCTACGTTCACACTGTGATTTCAGCATCAAAAATCCTGTGCTGCTTCTTTTCTGATGCTTGTCCACATTAGGGTCAGACGTCCAGTAAAGTGTCTCCAGATGCTTCCAGATGCTCCTGCTGCTCCCGTGTTCGATGCCAGAGAGCAGCTTTGCTATATTAGCTGTGATCAGCGGGTAGAAAGTAGTTAGAATCTATGTTGAAGTGAGAAAGTCCTCCTGAAAACATGGTCTGTGCAGTCAGTTCATCCAGATTACCATCCTGCCTTCAAAGATTATTTCTCTGTGGGAGCCGCTCAGACCCCCACATACCGGCGCTGCGCTGTCACTGGGAATCCCCAGCAGCAGCTGCCTCAGGCCCGCTCGCCTCTCCAGGGTTTTCCCCTCCTGTTGGTGGCGGCTGGAAGTAGATGTTAGCATTTTTCAGGTCTGTGCTACAAACTGCAGGCAGCAGGATAATAAAAGCCAACATATTCTGCCGGCAGGTTTCTACATTAGAAGTTAATTTAGGCGTTAATAAACTGTTTCAGAGGAGTGATCATAGCGCTCTGCATCAGCAGTGCTGCGTCTGACTCCCTGCCAGCTCCCAGATCAGCTCCTGGAGGACGTTTCTATGTGCCTTGATGAGCATCAACCATAGACTTTGCATGCAGACCGGCTGCTACTGATTCCTGAATCGCGTTAGGTGAGAATGCATTCTCAGCTTCTCTGGAATCTTAACGTTTTCAGTCTGGGTTTGGAAGAACTGTCCTGCTGCAGCTCACGCCTGGAAGCAGGTTTCCAGCATCTAGCTTATACAAACCTTCTGTCAGACGTTCAACCACAGAGATCCTGCGTCTGTCTTTCAGTCTCAACTGAAGGTAAATAGTTGATCCAGAAGAACTTCAGTTATTTCCTCTGGTGCGGTCAAACTGACATCACCGCGGACAGTCAGAGCGGCGTCTCCCTGGTAAACATCCTTCAGGCTGTGATGGGTTTGAACCTGGATGATTCCTGGGTTTGAGGCGGTTTAAAGTGATTATTCTTTGAAGTCTACCTTGGAACAGCCGTCTGAACTGACCATCTTGTTGTTTGGATGTGAGCAGAAAGTCCTGTTTAGGATTAGTGTGCTGAATGGACGAGAGTTTAAATCCTCTCTGTTTCCACCCTTCAGCTGCAGACGAGCTCCACGTCGCCAACGTCACGTCCAGCAGCTTCAGGTTACAGTGGAGCATCTTGGATCCCAAACTCTTGGTCTACTTTGAAGTGGTGGTGACTCGACTGACCGACCACGCCTTGGTTGTGAAGACCAACGTCTCCGGCACGGAGATAGCTCTGGACAACCTGGAAAGTTCTCAGACGTATCACGCTGTGGTCACGGCATACACAGCTGAGGGTCTCATTGTTTCCACCCGCAAGGGCATCGTTGAAACCAGTAAGTCCCCCCTCTGTCAGTGTTTGTGGGCGGAGCTTTGCGCCAATCCTTCCTGTTTTAGTGGCCATGATTTAAAAGCTGCTTTGGAAGACCAGTGATTAGGTCAGATGGTATTTTTTTCAAAGATTTGGGATCTTCTAGCTGTAAATGTCACAATATGGAAAACAATCTCACTTGTCTTTACTTCTGACTGATTTTTAAATAATCCAACTGAAAAAAAACTTTTTATTTGACTACATTTAATGAACACCACGTTATTCTAAACTTTTCCTGCAGCATCTGCCTGAACATTAATGAGTAAAACAGCTACAGTTTTATCAGGTGAGACTAAACGATATTTTCCTAACAGAAGCAGCCAGCCCAGGCAGCGCACCTGTCACCAGCAGACCACTGGAAAAACCTGAACCAGAACCTGAACCAGAAGCTAAACCAGAACCACAACCTGAACGAGAACCAGAACCACAACCAGAACCAGAACCGGGTACGTTGCTCTGAAACCATATAAACAAACAAACCCCAAACACAACACTAGGAGATCAACCGTAGCTGCTGAGGTTCTTATTTAACCTGAACCTCCAAAAATCTGTCACTAAAATAAACTAATATTTAAAGCAAACGTAATCATTACTAACTTTTCAGTTCACTTGTAAAAACTTACCTACTATCTCCTGGCTTTATTCTCAGTGACGAACACGTCTGAGTCGTTAGACATCGACATCTTGTTTTTGTAGAAAAACCAAAAAGCTGCTCTTGTGATAATTTAACCTGCTGGTTTTTAACAATGTGATGTTTTAGATTTAATCCTAACAGAATCTCCATCTCTGCCTGTCTGTCCTGCTCATGTCTGCTTCTTTCTGTTTCAACTGCTTTTTATTTTTATTTTGCATGTTGTAGTCAATGACCTGGCAGAGCCGTGCTCACTTGACTTTGACCCTGGGCAGCCGTGCAAAGACTATCAGGCTAAGTGGTTCTTTGACAGAAAGAACGGGTTCTGTGCAGAGTTCTGGTATGGAGGGTGTGGAGGCAATGAGAATAGGTTCGGCACAGAAGCCCTTTGCTTAGAAAACTGCATGAAGTCAGGTAAGTTCATTCCAGCAGAAAACTATTTCTGATCAGTTTGCTGGTGAAGATTCTCAGTCATCCAGGTCAGAGTCATTCCATAAAAGATAAAAATTATCCCACTTGACTTTTTTTTTCCAGTTTGAAGACATTTCTGTTCCCATCCAGGAAGATTTTTAATTCAAAGTGTCAGAAACAGCGTTGAGTTCCAGGTTTTATACTGGCTGTAAATACCCCTTTACAGGAGAACAGAAGACCTCACCTGTTCAGCCAGGCCAACTATTCCCTCTAACGACCCCCCTTTCAGAGACATAGACAGGTATGGGGCATTGCAGGCTAACAAAGAAGCCAAACGACCCCCATTCCAAAGGGGGGGACCCGTTCATCCGTTTCTATTTGCATGTTTTCTAAACTAAAACCAGGCTTTGTTGGGCTGCTGGATAAAACCTGGAACTAAACGCTATTTCTGACATTTTGGATTGAAAAATCTTCCTGGATGGAAGAGAAACGTCTTCAAACTTGGAAACAAAGTCCAGAGGATTGATTTTTAACTTTTAAATTAAAGATCTATCATGGTTTAATTGAACCAATGTTGAATATAAATAACTGGTCAAATATCAGAAGATTAAAATCAAAATGTATTTTTAAAATGTCAGCCTCCCAAGTTAGGACTTAATTCTCCACAGTATTAATGTTTGTGAAACTATTCCTTTTTCATCAAGCTAAGCTAAGCTTGCTAACGCCACCCAACCGTTGTTAATTAGGTCCTAGCTTATTAGCATGAATCTCTAAATTCTTTCACCTATTTGAAGTCTGTCTTAAAAGTAGCTTGCCACCATCAGTGTGCGACTGACTGAATGTAGCGTAAAGTGTTTTGGTTGAGTCTCCTGACTTCAAAAAGGGCTGTATAAGTACAGGCCATTTACCAAAAGAAAAAAAAACAATAAAGGACCAGAAATTAGACTAAAAGGTTTTTATCCGTCTGTTAGCTGCTGTCAGCTAACATGCTAACACAGCGCTGTTAGCATGTTTAGGAACCTTACGCCTTCACAGTTTAAACGATCATGTTTCCTGGACAGAAAGTTCAGGAGCAGCAGGTCTGTGAAGATGATCCCAACCATGTGACCAGAGCAGCTATATTTCTAAGCCCAGTTTGTGACACAGAATCCAGTTCAAGTGCAGCGAATGTAAAATCTTTCTATGGTTCATGTCTCTGCAGCCCTGGAGCCTCAGCCAGAGGAGCAGAAAGCTGAACAGATGGAGGTTCTTCCAGCTCCTGGTGAGAACCTGACTCCTCAGAGTTCACTTCAGGAACAGCAATAAGAGAAAACATGTTAGCATGTAGCCGCCATCTGGATCCAGCCTTCTTAGCAAGGGGACCCACATGCTAAATGCTACATATTAAATGCTAAATGCTACATATTAAATGCCAAATGCTACATATTAAATGCCAAATGCTACATATTAAATGCTAACTGCTACATATTAAATGCTAAATGCTACATATTAACCTCTTTAAATCCACCGGGTCGCCGGCAAACCGTTTTAAAGTGTTTAAAACTAATAACTCAGAATGCATGAAAATTTCACCAGTAAAATGGTTAGACATGATTAAAAAGCTTAAATTCTCCACAATTTAACCACCAAGTTAATTTTATGGACACAGCGAGCAGCAAAGCACAATCAACACAGATATAGCAGCATGTCAACATGTAAACAAACAAAGCAGCCACAGCCACGTCCCTTTGAAGGCCAGAAGCTGTTTTATAAATCCAATCTTCAAATGTTTATACTCCATTTGTCCATAAGGGTCCAAAGGTTAAAAGTAATCCAGCATATTCGAAATAAAAATATACTATGATGAGAAAATCGCCCATAACATCCGGTTGTGGACACAGAAAGGTTAGCTGGTCATAGCTAATGCTTAGCATCTTGCTAATATTTAATTCCTCTTACTTACCTCAGTTGTTAGCGATGTTTGCTGTGGTTCTTAACATCTTCTTACCTACAAGAGAAAAGTGTCCGCATCTTTTTATGATGCGATTTCAGTCAGGGACAGCCGCTGAAGTCTCCCAAGCGCTCCTTTCCTGTCAGCCAATGAGGCAGCGAGTAGAGCGATATTACGCCTCCTAGAGTCCTGCTGTTATTGGCTGAGACTAAATGGGCTGATGGGCTTTGTAGCCAATGAAATAAGGTTTCATCATGGCTGGATTATATAAAGCAGAGCCGTGTTACCGGCCTGCGTAAGCGTGAAACACACGGCTGAGGCTGGATCAGCGAGCGCAGCTCCAGGCTAAATAATAACCGTGCTATTTTTTTAGGTTTGGACGCTGATTTTTATTTTTTTACTACAAAGCCTAAAGCTGAACAAAACAAAACAAAATACAGCTCAGAAAAGGCACTGGGGCTTATTTTAGCTTGAAAAGCAGCAGTTTCCCTATTTTTTATAGATTTTATGTTATGTGTAAAAATTTTCCATTTTGTTATATATATATATTATATATTATATATATATTTGGCACATTTGCTAAATGCTACATATTAAAGGCTAAATTCTAAAAGTTAAATGATAAATGCTAAATTCTAAATGTTAAATTATGAATGCTAAATGATGACCATTGAATGCTAGATACTAAAAGCTAAAATGTACTTTGCTGAGATTCTGTTCTTCAAACAAACACGCTCCAAATTTTTGACTCTGCCTATGAACTAATTGGATAAGGAAACATGTTAACGAGGCTGACTGTGGCACCAGGGATCTCTGAGGAGGACAGGGAGGAACGGAACATCTAAACGTCTGACGCTAACGGAAACATGCGGCCCGCAGTGGAACCATTTTGAGTCTCTGACGTTTTAAAAATCTCCCAAACCTGACGGAGTGAACCTTTAGCATATAGTGATAGCTTTCCAACAAAAACACAAATCTTCCATCTTAAAGTCTTAAGAAATCATATTTAAATGTTGAATCATTCTGGCTTAAATATTTATATAAATGTACTCTTTAATTTATCAGACAATATTGTGCAAAAATGTAGAAAGTTTCTCTTTAAAAAAAATCCTGTCTTAAAATCTGTGTTTATTCCGTTATCTTCTGCAGGCCAGTTAGTTCTACGTCAGCCTGAACACCTAAATTCGGCCAATAATTTATCAACGGTCATCTGTCAATCTAATGTTTTCGGTCATAGCATCTTGATTCATATGTCGCAGCTAATATACGCAGCGGTTGAAACCAGAATCCTTTCCTTTCCCATTGAGTTGCGTCCCAGTGTTCACGGGGATGGACGTCTGTGTCTTCGGCAGGCGTAGAGCTAACAGAACTGGCAGCGTTGCGAGGCGAGGGCTCAAACATGTACGGCTGGAAGCCTTCTACACCAAACCAAGCTTCTGCCGCCCTGGCGTCCTCTTCCACAACATCTTCGTCCCCGCTTTCCTCCTCTAAATAAAAAATGGATGACGGAGGAGACTCATCCACGACCTCCGACACTAAACTCTCCTCCTCTTGCATGTTTCCGCTGTCCATAGCGTTCCTTGACAGCGTCGTTTCTAAGGCACCAATTTAGTGCTACTTGGTCCCAATGGAATTTCCCATTGGGAACCTGCTAGCACTAAGATGCTAACTGGTTAGCAAGATGCTTCCGACAAACCGGCCACAACCAAACCTGCTTGCAAACCTCGGAAATTCGGAAATGCAACGGTTGGAACGGCCGCTTCCCTACGACTTTAATTTCCCGACTAAACCACAGAGCTACACATTCAGCATATTTTGTTTAAAACATTAAAAGATGTATTTTTATTTTATTTTATTAGATTTATCAGTAGACCATCCCTAATGGGCCCTAAGGCTCTGAATTGTCCCTTTGACCTGCTTTTTTTCTTCTTCCCAGCGACTCTTACATCTCTGGATATTTGCCAGCTTCCCAAAGAAGAAGGGAAATGTGCTAAATTTGTCCTGAAGTGGTTCCATGATGCTCCCAGCAGGAGCTGCATCCGCTTCTGGTACGGCGGCTGCGGTGGAAACCAGAACCGCTTCGACACCTATGAGCAGTGCATGAAGGCCTGCGGAGAATCAGGTACCTGTGGTTCACGCTTCTCCTCCGCTTTAATTCAGGAAAACTATTCAGTCAGCTGCATCATTTATGATTTATTATCCACTAGTTTTATCCTTCAATTAGATATTGATTAATGAATCAATGTTAACAATGAATCATATTGAATATCAAGCCTGTTTACATCGTAATGCAAACGGAAACTAATGGCTCAGCTTTTTAAATGCAGTAGAAGGTTGAATGATGCTGTTAATGTTTGACTGAAATAATCCAGTTTTACTGCTTGGTAACCAAAGAAGAAAGTTTTAGCAATGAGATAAAAGAAGCTTAGAAACAGCTCCACCTGTACGCCACGCACCGTCAGGCTGACAGTCGGCCCGATGGAAAAATCTCGCACAACTAGAGAATCGGCCCGAAAAGAGCAAGAAATTGCACCATGTACATCTGACTTTAGTTGAGTTTTAGCACCTTCTCTTCTGAGCAGACGTAAACGTTGCTGTTCCACATCGCCCTCACACCGACCGTCAACATGGCAGCTTCTGCAGCTTTAGCATCACTGAAAGCAGATATTTATGTTGTGGGGAACTATCACTTTTATCCCCCTTTGGGACCAGGCCTGGTCAATTCTATTCAGTCTATTTCTATAGATCCAATTCACATCATGTCATCTCAGGTCACTTTATAGAAACAATTCAACCAGATCATCCAGTCAGATTGATTCATAGTTTTCTATCTAAGGAAAACCAGCTGATTGCATCGACTCATTGACTCTTCAGCAATCCCTCACACTAAGCATGCTTGTAGCGACAGTGGAGAGGAAAAACTCCCTTTGAATAGAGATAGAATGAGCAGAATGATGAAAAAGGGGTCCCTATGTCCTCCAGCAGTCTAAGCCTATAGCAGCAGAACTATAGAGATAGCTCAGGATAACCTGAGCCACTCTAACTAGAAGCTTTATCAAAAAGGAAAGTTTTAAGCCTAGCCTTAAAAGTAGACAGGGTGTCTGCCTCACGGACTAAAACTGGTAGTTGGTTCCACAGGAGAGGAGCCTGAGAACTAAAAGATCTGCCTCCCATTCTACTTTTAGAAATTCTAGGAACCACTAGTAAACCTGCAGATTGAGAGCGAAGTGCTCTGTTAGGAACATCAGGAACAATCAGATCTCTGATATCAGATGGAGCTTGGCCATTTAAGGCTTTATATGTGAGAAGGAGGATCCAGAACAAAGTGATCATGGAGGGAAAGTTTGCACAGCGTTCGGTTCTAACTGTATTTTTCTTCTGCAGCACCAGTCAACCCAGGGATCATGGCCACACTGAGAACATAGAAGGCTTTACCTCTGTTTGGAGAACCATCCTAAACAGCCACCCTGAAGCGACGGTGGCAGCACTGGACTCACCACAACATGAACTTTAACTCCAAACTTCTTGAAGTAGTTTTTTTTGTTTTGTTTTGTTTGTTTTTTCACATGATAGAAGGAAGAAGGTTTGCTGTGTGAAACGTTTGACCTACTGGTGCTAAAAGTCTGAGTCTAATACCTGCAGCATGATGAGTCTGGAACCATGAAGAGAAAATGTTTAGGATTAGAAGCAGGAGTCTGTTGGACAAAAACGAGCAATCGATCCATAAAGCAGGACTTTAAGGTCCAGAGCAGTTCAGGCTGATTCAGTCCGTCCCTGCAGCGTTCACACAGCTCCAGAAACTCACCGCTCTGATGTAATGCCATGCTAAGTGCACTCCTGGATCCGTTTCCTCCTTTCAAGACGTTCAGCTATCTGCAAACGTCACTCTGGTTGTTATTTTTATTCCGGTTCATGAAGTTTACCTGTAAGTTTGTGTTTGGAGGAAATAAAAATCAAGACTTTGTAAAAAAAAACGTGAGCAAGTGAGTTTTTTTCCTTCTTCTGCGTTGATTTGTTTAATTTCCAACATTCAGACTCAAGACCCAAAGAAAGAAGAACTGATGATGGAAACCAGCCCAAAGGGGAGGGATTAGGACTGGTTTGGTCTCAGTCTGCTGGGAGAATCTAATTTAATACCAAATCAGAAAGGAACTAAAACTCATCTAAAAATTCAGAGTAAGGACCTGGTGGACGATACAAAGTTACAAAAAGAAGAGGTTTTCTTGTCTTGAAATTTGGATCAGGGAAATTAAGGGTTAAATGTTCAAAAGAGTTGTAGGTATTAATTGTTTTGGGAGTAATCAGTAAGTCCGACTGGAAGATTGTTGCTACTCCTCCTCCCCCTTGTTTTCAGGACACCACCTAGACAACCAGCGGTTGAATGACGACATGCGGCTAAACATGTCATCACTGGTCAGATCAGGGAGGGGACCAGAGAAAATTACGGAGTCCGACATTTTTTTGGCAAACTTACACACCGAAGCAACACTAATTTTAGTGACCTCCGATCGGCGTAACCGGGTGTCATTACCACCAGCGTGAATAACAATCTTACTGTATTTAACCTTATCCTTAGCCAGTAGTTTCAGGTAGGATTTGATGTCGCCCGTTCTGGCCCCCGGCAAACATTTGACTATGGTCCCTGGTGTCTCTAATGCCACGTTTCTGACTATGGAGCTGCCAATCACCAGAGTGGGCTTCTCAGTGGGTGTGTCACTGAGTGGGGAAAACCGGTTAGAAACGTGAACGGGTTGGGTTGGCGTTAGCCTCCCTGCATGCAGTTAGCCTCGCTGCAGGGAGTTAGCATCTCTGCGTGCAGTTAGCCTAGCCTTGGAGCTAAACCAGGTCCTGGAAAAGGATGTTTCTGGCGCCATGCGTCTCCAACTCCTTTGACCTGTTAATCACCTGCACATATCAGCACTGTGGCGGGAGGAGGTGAGCAAATACACTTCCTGTCACCTTCCTGTCACCTCTGGGCGGAGCTTAGCTGCACTCAGAGCTCTTCTAACCTTCTGTATTGCAGAGCAGCTGCTGCACAAGGACAACTTTTAACGACAGTCTATGGGCAAAGATTTTTGTGCCCAAGGGCAGAAATACGTCACCAATCAGAGGGAAAAATGGAATGACAGTTTACTAATCACTAAAGATTAAATATTTATCTTGTACATCTAAAAATATATATATATTGAAATGAAATATAGTAGAAATGAAATTAAAATTGTGTCATTTAGGGTCATTGGGTGGGTGGGGCGGCGCCCCAGCGCCCTCTATTGGCCAGAGGCCACTGACATCCATCCATCACTGTTGGTTCAAAGTCACATCAAACCTAAATGACTTTTATTGTGAAGGTCAAAGAACCAGCAGGGCTCCTCGGGTCTGATGTCCTTTAATCATTTTACTTCATGGACACAAAGACAAAGTTTCTGTCTCTGGAGTCAAACAGGAACTTTGTTTTCTTTAGAAAATGGGTTGATGTGGGACGATCAGCTGGTGGCAAACATGCTGCAGCCAGATGGAGACCTGCAGATGGACCTGGTTAGACGGAAGACGTCTCTGGGTTTCTGCTCACTGGAGGAATAAAACAATAGATTAGATTGGATCAACATTTAGTGAATTATCTCTGTTTGTTGGAGCTGCAGAACATTAAATCATGTAATAAAAGCTTCTTTGGAGCTTGTCATTCCTCTTCTTATTCTTATCTGAAATGTGAGATTAGATAAATCTTTTTCCTTCAGATGAAGCTCTAGAGGGATTATCTTCTCTGACTCAGATGGAAGGAATGTGTTCCTGACAGGAGAAAACATCTCAGTTTTTATGACCCTCGTGAATTTAACCAACAGGAAGTCAGAGCCGTTCTCCTCCCAACCTTAACTGGTATGTTTATCTGAAACCAGCGGCCAGCTGGGATTATCTGCTGGTGAAAGCAGGAGGTTTTAATTATCAACAACAGCAGCGAAGCTGAACCTCTGTTTCTCCTGAGGAACCTTCTGCTGGTCTTCAACCAATAAATTCACAGCGTCAGTAACAACTAAATCTGATTGGCTGCTGATTTTCTGGCTTTGATTGACCAAAGAGGAGCTGCTTTATTAATCTGACGTCTTAAATATGGAATCAAAAGTTAATTCATTAAAATTAAACCTTTTTCCTCAAACAAACGAAATCATCTGATTTCATAGAACTTCTCCACAGAAGCTCCGACGCTCCATGAGCCAGAGGCGGTTCTGTTTCCGTGGATCTGTTTTGGGAAATCAGTTGGACTGTTGGCTCAGCACTTCCTGTGTTTCCACGGGAGGCTGTGGGAGGGGGTGGGGGGGGGTCTTTGGTTGTGGTTTCTATGGTGAGCCAGAGGCTCTGGTGGGAGGAACATCACCCCCCCCCCCCCCCCCCCCCCCCCCGGCTGCCGTGGCAACATGGGCAGCCAGCAGCGTGAGTCATCAGTGGGAGGATGTGAGCGGTGGGGGGAAGCTGAGCTCCTCCATGGCGGTTTGACTCCACCGACGTCAAACATCAGCAAATGGAAAAACTGAGGAGTGGACCTCCTGCTTCTCCTGCAACAGGAGGAGGAACAGCAGGAGGTCCTGATCCTGATTCTAAACGTCTCCAGGAGGATCAGCAGAGTCTGCACCAGCAGCTTTAATGATCCAGAACTGCAGATCCAGACCTTCCTCTGCTGGGTTCAGCTCAGGCTCAGTCTAACTGGATGGAGAACATCTTCAGGTCTCGCTACAGATCATCTGTTGGATCTAGGTCTGGACTTTGACTAGGCCGTTCTAACTCATGAATCAGGTTTGATCTGGACCAGTGGCCTCAAACTCAAACTTCTAGATGTAGCTGGTCCCTCAGCCTCCGCTGCAGAATCAGGCAGAAAAACCAGCTCAGCAGCAACAGCCTCTGCTAACGAGTTCTACTGGTGAGCTTTGCTAACGGCTGCTGCTCATGCTGCGTCTGAAAGCTCCATAGAACCACATGTCCTCCTCTCTGCTTCCAGGATGCTGTTCTGGAAAACCTCTGAACCAGAACCTGGACTCAGACTCAGCTGGACTCTGGTTGGTCAGGAGGGAACTCCATGTTTTTCTGAGGGCTGTTAGATTACAGATGAACATTTCCAGATACGCTATCAGGAGCTCAGCCATGAGAACAGAGAATCCCTTTATTGTCCCTCAATCGTGTTTAAAGCAGCAAAAAGATTATAGAAAAAATGGTCACAAATATGGACCTTAGAAAAATCACAATAGGGAAGAGTTAAAATATAAACAATAAAATTCTGTAAAGTGTTTTAACAATATAAAACTGGAGAATAAATAACCAACATGCAGCTATGGACATTTTATGTGCAGAATGACAGCAGCAGGTTATTTAACTTATGGAGCTGGTTGGGAACAGATGGGTGTGAAGGGACCTGCAGGGGTTCAGGAGCTGCTAGTAGATCAGTAAACTATTCAGCTCATCTGTCCGTGAGAGCCGGTCTGGGGAACCATGGAACAAATGACTGGTTCTGGTTCCTCTGCAGATCTTGGATGAAAAACAGACGTTTCTGAAACTCAATCCATCCTCAGCTCAGAAGTTTCTCACTCAGCAGAACCTTCCAGAAAACCATCAAGTTCTGCCCCCCACATCACCCCGGTCCACATCACGGTTCTGCTGGTGGTTCTATTGTGGTTCTATTGGTGGTTCTATTGGGGTTCTGCTGGTGGTTCAACTATAGATAATTTTTCTGCCGTTCATGATGAACAATGGAAAACCACCTGTGGAACCACTTGAGGAACCACCTTTGGAACCACCTGAGGAACCACCTGTGGAACAACTTGAGGAACCACCTGTGGAACCACCTGAGGAACCACCTGAGGAACCACCTGTGGAACCACCTGAGGAACCACCTGTGGAACCACTTGAGGAACCACCTTTGGAACCACCTGAGGAACCACCTGAGGAACCACCTGTGGAACCACCTGAGGAACCACCTGTGGAACCACTTGAGGAACCACCTTTGGAACCACCTGAGGAACCACCTGAGGAACCACCTGAGGAACCACCTGTGGAACCACTTGAGGAACCACCTTTGGAACCACCTGAGGAACCACCTGAGGAACCACCTGTGGAACCACCTGAGGAACCACCTGTGGAACCACTTGAGGAACCACCTTTGGAACCACCTGAGGAACCACCTGTGGAACAACTTGAGGAACCACCTGAGGAACCACCTGAGGAACCACCTGAGGAACCACCTGTGGAACCACCTGAGGAACCACCTGTGGAACCACTTGAGGAACCACCTTTGGAACCACCTGAGGAACCACCTGTGGAACAACTTGAGGAACCACCTGAGGAACCACCTGTGGAACCACCTGAGGAACCACCTGTGGAACCACTTGAGGAACCACCTGTGGAACCACCTGAGGAACCACCTGTGGAACCACTTGAGGAACCACCTGTGGAACCACCTGTGGAACCCCCTGTGGAACAACTTGAGGAACCACCTGTGGAACCCCCTGAGGAACCACCTGTGGAACCCCCTGAGGAACCACCTGTGGAACAACTTGAGGAACCACCTGAGGAACCACCTGAGGAACCACCTGAGGAACCACCTGTGGAACCACCTGAGGAACCACCTGTGGAACCACTTGAGGAACCACCTGTGGAACCACCTGAGGAACCACCTGAGGAACCACCTGTGGAACCACCTGAGGAACCACCTGAGGAACCACCTGTGGAACCACCTGTGGAACCACCTGAGGAACCACCTGAGGAACCACCTGTGGAACCACCTGAGGAACCACCTGTGGAACCACTTGAGGAACCACCTGTGGAACCACCTGAGGAACCACCTGTGGAACCACCTGTGGAACCACCTGAGGAACCACCTGTGGAACCACCTGAGGAACCACCTGTGGAACCACTTGAGGAACCACCTGTGGAACCACCTGAGGAACCACCTGTGGAACCACCTGTGGAACCACCTGTGGAACCACCTGAG